TTGGGTTAAACTGGGAGGTGTTTTTTAGTATTATTGATGTGACTGGAATGGATGAATTATTGGGGACAACTTTCAGTAAAGCACAGCACTTTCAAAATGTTTAATCAACATCTCTTTTAAACAGTATAAATTAAAATGGAGCATTATAACCATCATGGAAGTACAACTTACTGCAGGACTGTTGCATTGGGAGTTACTGACACAACTTCACCTACTTCCAAGGTGCATGAGGAAGGGAAAGAAATCTAAAGAGGTCAAAACTCCAGCAACACTTTATATAGAACAACTTTATTGTAAGACCAGTGCATTAGGTTTGTGGCCTTCACCAGGGTCAGGAACTGTTGTATTAGACTGCATTAGCTTTGGTTAGGTGTACCTAATAAACTGGCAATGTCATGAATAAGTCTGCAGAGATGCGCTGTCTGCAAGCTTCCCAGTATTCCTTAAATGTAAAAATTGGAAACTAAAGACATTTCTCAATCTGCGTTCTTGCCTGTACTTATGTTCTTGCGGACTTGTGAAATGTCACCAATCGCAGCCCAAGTACTGTTCCAAATCAAAGTCCGCATCCAGCCAAGTACAGTCCAAATGCCCGGATGTGAACTTGCTCTGCCCGTTCCATCTGGGATGCATCGGGAGGTGGCTTGTGTGGACTTTTGACAGCCAGGTATCCCAGAATGCATTTCTCACAGAACAGCGGCAATGACAGCTGTCCTTGGGAGTTTGTACTCCTGAGTCGAACTTGCCAAGTTTGAACTCCCAAGTGCGCAAGTCCGAACTTGGCGTACTTGGTATTGAGTAACGCGTTAAGTAAGATAAAAATACACTTTCTTATAACAATGTTGTATGTTGAGTTAGCAGTGGGGGATCTTCCTATGGGTGACACAGGCAGCCGCCCAGGGCTCCACCCAGGACATAAGGGAAATGGAGGATTGGAGTTTATGTAGAGGGCATTAGAGGAAGAGAATATGAAAAGGCAAAAGCCATCCAGGGGGCAATACAAAAACATGACGACAACAAAATTTGCACTAGTGGTGGGAGGTACCTCATTAGTTTTACGCACAGTTTGTACATTGTGTTCAGTGGGGTAGCTGAATGAATCTGTCAATCGTGTGATTTGCTCTCTAAATTAAGTCTGTTGTGGCACGTCGTTCAGTTTTAGGGGAATTTCACTTGTTGTGTTTCTTTACTGTCTGACAGGTAGCCTGTGTGTCTGCACTATTGTGTGACCAAACAATGGAGCTGCAGGAAGAAAAGGTCAACACGGCTGCTGATTGGCTGGCTGACTGGGCCACTTCCTGGCTGCTGGGAAGTGATTGGGCGAGACCAAAAGGGGGGACCTGTAGAATTTGGAAAGGGGTGAAGGGGGGGGGTCTTTCGATTCTTTTCACACGTAAGGGACCATAAAGTATGTTGTGTGTGTGTGTGTGTGTGTGTTGGGGGGGGGGGGGGGGGGGGTGCACTGGGGCCAACTTCCTATCAAGAGAATGGGGCAAAGGAAACAGAGGCAGGAGACAGGAAGTTGGAAGAGGAAGCTGCGCCCATTGTCCCTGCACAACAGTGTTCCTATAGCAACCGCCAGTGGGGAGGGAAGTCAGCAGAGAGACTGGGGGTTTAGATGGCCCTTTAAAACGTCACTTTAGCAAGAATGCGACACAGTGTGAGTGCAGAGAACTTTAGCTTGTACTCTTTGGCTTGCTTATAATTCACTTATCAAAAACAATGAGACAAATCATAGTGTGTTAAAAGGTTTCAGCAGACAAACTGCGCTCTAGATGATGCCACTTTGGCCTTCCATAACTTCTGAGATAGATAATGAGCCTAAACTCACCTGTGATGATGACTTGGGCATCGTAGGGCTCCATGTACCCATCATTCACCCCTGCTCTCTCAGCCTCCCTCTGTTCTTTGGTTTTCTCTGCATCAAAAGGATCGGCGTAGTCCTCCAGGATTATCAGCTGTGAAAAGGACAAGACATGTTAGAAAGAGCAGTGCCGGGCTGCTATAAGTACTCAGACATTACATTAACCTGGAGACAACACCTAGAGAGGGATCTGATACAGTTTGGGTGTGTGATGTCCATGACTAAGTGACAGTTAATGGAGGGATGAGCAGAGAGAGTGCAAAGAGGTCAGCACATTGTGTTTGCCTGTTTGATCTGACACAATGTAGTGAAACTACTTTGTGTTCTTTTGACAGCGATGGAAACTAAATACAGGGATATGAACTGAGGTGGGGAGGGAAGACACAAATGAAAGCACTGACCTCAAGCTCACAATGAATTTTTTTGTGCATAGTATGCTGACTTTTTTTATCTGCATGCTGCTGTAACCTGATGCTGATATGTGGAAATCAAAAATTTGCACATGAGGTTTTGCTTTATCTCTAGAAGTTACTCACCGTTGTTTTAATGTCAGATCTTCCCTTTTCGTTCTCGGGGTGCTTCTGCTCACTTATCCCGTTGAGTTTGGGGGTCTTGTCTTGTTTGTCCACCTTGATCATCCTGCTGATGTATGCTTGCGCCAAACTTGTGGTCCTGACCTGGCGGTTCTCATCTGACGCCCCAGCCTCGATTTTGGAGTTCTTGCGACCTTTTCCAGTCGTGAGACTATCCCAAACGGTCCCACCAGAACCAGCGTTGTTACGACCCAATTCTGTAGCCGAATTTTTCCTGTTTCTCCCTGCCAGTAAACCCCCCACTCCGCCGTCTTTGCGCTGATTCCCTTTCAGACTGTCGCGAGAGAACGAGGGTTTGGGTCGAGTTTGGGGACCAGATTCTGAGGCCGAGCGGACCCTTTCATTTCCGTTCTTCAGGTTGATGGGGAAATCTCTGAACCACTTTGCCATGGCTGTCAAGGTATTAACACTTCTCACATATATAAAAATTAATAAACCTGTTGTTTTGTACGCGTTCTTGTATTAGCTGCCCACACTAAAGCCAAATTTAAACCGTGCGCAACAGCTCCAACTTTACGCACACATATTTTACGCACGCCTCGGTTGAAGTAACTACGGTCCTTGATCACTAGAATCTCTTCGTTATCAAATTAAGACACCTTACCTCGAGGTGCTAAACTGATTCCTGGCGTCTGAAACTCCCTGACAACTTCTCGCGCGTCTTGGAAGTCATTGGCCAGTGGCTTTTCGTTGTTATCACCCTGCACCTGCAGTAACAACTATCCCTGCAGTTTGAAAAGTAGCCTCTGCAAAGCGTAAATTCGAAAGAACTCGAAGTTTTTCTTTGAACTCAATAAAGATCCCATTCCCGGAGCGTGAGATGATGCGTGCAGTCTGTCGAGGTGATGAGATGGAGAGGAAAGTTCTGTGCGCAGACGGTGGGATGTCGCTGGAGTTTGGGGAGGGGCTGTGTGTAAGGGGCGGGGGGAGAAGTTTTACGGTAATAATTTTATTGGATGCACAAGTGAACTCTTCAACCTTTATTAGGACTTGGTCTAATGCCAATAGACGCCTGACAATAAGCACAATATAGAATCCAACATGTGAAGTCTATGAAAAGTTATTACAAAAACGAATTTAAAAAGTCCCTTTTGAAGTTTGTTCTTGTCCACTGTACTACATCTGAAACCATATTTGTGCTTTTGTATTTATGTCCCTAAACTGTGGATCTCACTGCCTCTCAATATTTATATTTTTTTTTAAATTTTATTTATCTATTTATTGTCATTGTATTTTACTTTTTTTAAATCCATAGACTTTTATTGACTGATTTTCAATATTTTAATTTATTTTGTTTTAATCTATTTTTTTGTATGCTTTTTTTTTATTTTACTCTGTGCTGCATAGTTGTTAGGAAGGTGTTAGGTATATATGAATTAAGTTCAGTGGAGTTGGGTTGGTCAGCTCTGCAATTTGGAGCAATTTGTAGTGAATCCACCAAATATTAAGGAATTATCATTTGCCTTATTTGTTTATGCACTTATTTTTGTAATTTGTAATGCAAGTGTATCTTGTCCAAGAAATGCAGCCATATCAGTGTATGACAGACAACATTCAACATGCCACAAACAACAATTATGAAATCATGAACATATTTTTTTTAGACCAATCATATTTAATATTCCAGCACAGAAACAAGCTAAGCACCATCTTATCATCACCATCTTTACAGTAACTCTAGAAAAACATCTCATCAATTCAAGGTTTTTAAAGCAATGGCTGAAACTAAAGCAAACCTGTGAACACTGATTGTGCAGACCACAATCTTTGATCACACATATAAAGGTATGCACAGGCATGTGCATTAAGCACAATGCATGGACATAGGTGTGGACATGTACACATAGAGACAAACACACACAGACCTCATACTCATATTTGACTGTATATGTTTTGTTGAATTGCTCCATGCTCAGTAATCACTCACTGTTTGACATGGGTTGCAAATCAGCCATGGCTAGAAACCTGCATGCATTGCATCTACGTTGTATTTTAGATATGAGGCAATGTCTTTAAATTTGTCCCTGTCAAATAAACAAGCATTTAAATAATAAAATAGTTATAATAAAACAACAGTAGGACATTGCATGTACTCTTTCAGCTGTAGTAAGTTAATGGAGGTCATGCACTTGCAGCAGAGGGTTGGAGCTCTTTTTGACAAGTGTTCTGGATGATGATGATGCTGCTCAACTACCAGCTGATACATAATTGCGCCATCTACTGGTGATATGAAGAGAAACAAATACACGGAGACACCAGTCTGTATACACCTTCGTCCACAACGCAGGTGCTGAACAATGTTTGTCTGTCAGTTTCTACCGATAGTTTTTTGTTTATTTCATGTAAAGTAAAAATTCGGGCTTCCGTTGTACAGCAAAAAGGTCAAAAAGTGGTCCAGCACAATGAATGAGTGACGCATGGATCTCACCAATGGCGAACGTAGCCACTATCTATAGCCCCGCCCACGTCAGCATGCTCGTCCAATCACAGCGCTCTCTTCGGGGAGGCTGGGCGGGACGGTTACATCCCCGACAAAGGTAACAGGTTGCAGTCGCCGCATAAATGAACTTGTTGCCGTGTTAATTTGCGTAGGAGTTGTTTCTTTCCACCCACTTTTCTGCGTGGACTTTGATGGAAAACATTTGAATTATCACCGACACCAGGGAAGCGGAGTGTCGAGGAGGAGCAGAGTAAAAACTTGAGAGTAAAAGGTAACTTTACGCTTGTTGTGTTGGACTTCACATAGCCAGACAGCTAAAAGTAGACACACGAGCTGTCAGACAGTTAGGCTCTTTGTGGGATGTTTTTGTCCACTATGTGACGCTTATTACTTCCTATAAGTTAGTTCTGTCATCATTTCTTACAGTAATCTATTACCTGGGGTATCTGTTTGCCAGTTTAACGTTAGCTTGGTAGCTAACGTCAGTTTGATGATGGTTCGAGGGTTAACAGTGACCAGTGCTCTGAGCTAACGTTACCTCAGGATAACTTGCCTGTTAATGTGATGGGAAATACATGGGACGGGTGTTTCTTTTAAACGTTTAAGTACTCTAAATGTGACCACTCATTTATGGAAGTTGAATATAAGACTTTTAAAGATAGTTTAATGTCGGAAGTACTCACATTCAGTAGCTATTTCACTACCAAAACAGGTGGCCTAATGTTACCTGCTACCAGGGTGAACTGTGCACTGAGAAGCAAACAACTGTAAGACCTCAGAGACAGTGTTTAGGACACAAGGGGCTGTATGCAACTATATTTAAAATGCTTTAAGGCTTTGAATCTATGCTAGCCTGACATGTATTCTCTGCAACCTCTGAGGGACATCTCGAAGAGCATGTCTGTGATTCAGAGATGCTCTCTTCACTATTAATCTTGAGTCCGATGAAACTGATGATGCAGGCAAGTAAGAAGTGCAGATTATAGTTTTGAGTTGTGGGGAAAGGCTCATGGATTGTGTCATGAAATTGAATAATTACAGCACTGCACTTGCTAAGCCACTGACCATGCTGACACAGTGTACTTTTAAAACAGAATTAACGTGGGGAGAAAAGCTAGTAGCACATTTTAAAGGGCACCTTAGGCATTTCAGTTTTTGAAGTTGGTCCAGTATTGAGAGAGACTGCTACAGTGGTGAAATAGGCTGCAGTGTTACCACTCTGGGTATTTGTCCACTGACAGGCTCAGGTCTTTATTCTAAGTGTCCACCAACATTATGAAAAGGATCCTTGCAGAGATAGACCTTTTTGTTTAACCAAAAACAGACCCAAAATCGCCCTCAACAAAGCTCCTTTTAAATAAACAGTAATTTACATATGTATAGAGGCAGCATATTTTGACATCAAACTGGATGGATTAAGAGTTTAATTCAACCAAATCAGAGATAATTGGAACAGTGTAATAATGAAGGGAGACGGCTTTTGTGAGTTTTATTTTGTTTCTGTCAACTCAAAATGAAGTGTGTTTCATGATGAAAAAATGATTGTTCATTCAAATGGAGTTTGGTTGGCTTGGCTAGCAATTTTGGGGCTGTTTCTGGCTCAGATTCTTTCCATAATGTTGTCGGACACTTCCGATAACAATCTGAGCTTGTTGGTTCCAAAAACAAGCATTTTTAGTCGTCGTAATTGACAGTGCCTCATTGTCCATTTACTTTACATTGCAGCCTGTTTTGCTGCTATCACACAACACTAGGCCAATTATAAAAACTGTTGTCTCCATTCAGGAATTACACACACAAAAACATGACAAAATAAGGTCCAGGTTGAAAAATACCAAAGTAATCCTTTAATTCTGGACAAAGTGTTAAAGGTTAGTCTGATGTTACAGGTGCACATACTGCAGTATGTAGATAAGTTCCCATAAATCAACCTCTCTCACACACGTACACACTCTTGGCCTGTGTGTGTGAAAGGACAGAGCGAAACAAGTGTCTGGAATGTAGGGTAAGGGAGGGGTGTATTTATGTGCTCCTAATATGGTGTCATTTGTTTACTATTTGGTAACACTGAAGTATCTCTTTGTTATGCCAATGAACTTCTCTGGAATTGAAAAGAGGAATAAATGGCTGTTTGTTTGAGCGTGAAAGAGGAGTAGTGGTGAGTTTGGAGGAGAGATTGACCGCTTCAGAGAGGAAGAGGGCCTGGTTTTATGTCAAGAATGTAATAGAGAGGAGGGAGAGCACCCTGAGGACTGAGAGGCTGCGTGTCCTTAGAGGACACAAAAGGCATGGAGCTGTTGTTACTGTCCATCGCTGTTACTTACACCTACATGTATCTAATTTCTAGGTTATTATGCCTGCAAAACTTAACGATTCACCTGGAAGAAAAGGGACAAACTACTGCTTTACAGCTCGTCCATTTTTGCTTAGTAGTGTGCCATTTACTAGTGCATAAACAGTCGATTAAGTGATATAGTCAATTGAATTAAATTATTTGACAACTGTTTTAGTGATTGATGAATTACTTAAAGTAATGTCATGGCAAAATGCATTTATTTTATTCTTTTTATTTATGTGTATTTGCTGCTTTTCCCTCTGTCATTGACCTTGAAAATAGTAGTTTGACATAAAAACCTTAACTCAAGGTCCGCTTACGTGCTTTCACTGGCACTTTCAACTTCATTTCTCTCAGTCATCCACAGCAGATGCAAGATACAGCTTGAGGAATTGTAAAGAATGATTCAACTTTCAATTAGTTCAATAAAAAACTTGGCAGGTTTATGATTGTTAAGGCATTGTATATCCCCTCCTAAAAACACATCATGTATTGATACTGTAAGTACATACATTGCAGTATGTAGGATGATACATTTTTGTATTATAGTGAATGCAGCACAAATAAAAGTTAAGACTCAGAAAGCATTCAGCCTTTGCCGCTGTCTCCAGCTGTATCAGTTTTAGGCCAGGCCAGAGATGATCTGATCACATGAACCATGCTGACTCTGTGAGTCAGCAGAGGCACTTTCATGACTCCACACATTGCTGTTGTTTCATTTCTCTCCACACCCGCTCTAATCTCCTAATTACATTTTCCATTCCATCTCGGATCTTAACAGGGAAGCGGCTCCAATTCAATTTAGTGTGCAGGAATTCAATTTGAGGCCCGAGGCAGAGAGCCCGTCAGCATAACTGCAGGGTACCATAACTGGCAACGGAGTCAAAAAGCACCAGATAGTTGGGCATGCAAGCCTGCAAAAGCTTGTTGTTGAAGTCACATCCTATTAATGACACAAGCATGAGTTAGAGACCTTTGCATGAGAGCGTGTAGCCCACTATAAGAATATTAGAGCTGCAGCTGATGCTTTTTTTGATGATAAATGAATCCTCCTAGTATTTACTTGATTCTTTGTTTAATCCATAAAATGTCTTAGCATAACCAAAAAATCTCAAATCTCAAAAAATTAGAGAAGAAAAAAGCAGCAAATTTGCACAACTGAGAAGCTAGAACTAGAAAATAATCATCATTTAATTGCCTATTGATTTATCGACTATCATTTCAGCCCTAAAGGATACAGAGTCACACACCGTGTTGCTTTCAAATAAAGAAAGCAGTTACAGTAGGTGTGACTGACATTTTAATATGACAGCACAGCCACTGTATAACCAAATAGATTACAGAAGAACTTGTTTGATATCCTACTTTCAATATGGAAAAGGATGTTTATTTTAGAGAGGTGTGAAAAAAAATAACTTTGTGGAGAAACCTAGAAGGGAGAACGTATGGGGACAAAAATGTCAGTGTTGAAACAAACTTGTTGTAATCAGATAAACAGTGTAAGGGAGGAAATGAAAGACCACGGGGATGGTTTTGGCATTCTCAGAATTGCTGCCCTCATTTTCCGCCCCACATCAACTGGACAATAGGATGGGTTCCCCCTCATCCCTGCCCCTCTTCGGCATTCTTCCTCAGTGACATACAAAAATTAAACTGATGAGGAGATGCAGATTAACAGATAGTAACAGAGAAACGTCCTGTTAGTATTGTACTGTAAGTCAGTTTGGCACCCTTACGCTCTACAGATCTCCCTGCTTCAGTTTCCCATGAAATCAATGGACATTGCCCTCGTATGGCACGTTCGTCAGTGCATGTCATGCTTGACCTTGCAGTGAAGACAGTGCGCTGCAGACCTCATGCTTGACTGCACAAATGTGTTGTGACATGGTGCTTCCTCTGTGGTTCCCAAAGGGTGGAGGGAAAAAAAAAAATCGACTAGCTGTGCACCTCTGATGAGCAGGTCTATCTGTGGACGATGCTTACGCACCACAAGCGCACAGATATCCTCAAAGGTCGTTGATGTCGTGTTGATTCGCACATTGCCAGCCCAGACATTTTCCATCACCTATTTTCGCTCCAAAGTTGTTTCATGTATTCATTTTCGCTTCCACAGCAGGGACATATAAGATTATCCGTCCTGGCTCACTTTGCTGACTGTATCTTTTTCCTGGCTTGGATTAGTCTGTGCTGCGTCATACAGCCTTCAAAATCTGCATGGAAATGTGAAAATGCACGTGTAGGCGTTCAATAATGCATGGGTGCATTTGTTAGTTATCTGTTAGATGGTTACTTTCATAGTCGGTCCTTTGTGTGCGCGCAGGGGGGAGGGTTGCGCACAGAACAGCTTGACTTTGGATTTTATCACACAACGCACTGATAAGAGAAGAAAAGCGGAGTGTTTTCTTTTTTCTCTCTTTCTGTCTCACTCCACCCTCCCTTTCACTCTCCCAGCCCACTTTCTGTCTCTCACCATGGAAAGCTGTGGAGGGGAAATAAAAGGTGCAGAGGTCAGGGAGGGAGTGTTGTAACAGGTTTGATGTGAATTTAATGAACCATACCAGTGTAATGGACATGGGGGGTGAGATCCTACAGTTTGACCTAACACAAGGCATGTTCAGTCAGTCAAGGTAACATCAGGAATGTTCACTTAAGTACTTTATATTACTGAGAGTGACGCATAAGGCTGACAGTGACTTATCATTAAACTGTGACGTATGATCAGTTGAGATACAAATAGTTTCAGAATTACTCATCAAGAGCTATCAAAGTATAGGAAAAGGGAGGATTAGGGAGTCGAGAAAAACTCAAAAGTGGAGAAATTACAGAGTGAAAGAATGAAAAGGTCCGTACTAGTTGCTGTGGTACCTGTCTTTATTCAAGCTGTCAAAGTTTTGAAGTGGGAATTAGGTTTAGTATCTGGCTGGGAAACTTCCAAAAGTTGGGAAAGGCTTTGTTGGTCCTTACAAGTGGAAAGTGATATGTGGGTGTGTGCTTTCAGGTTAATGACTAATGGAGTGCACAGAGCACAAAGTCCACACAAGCAGCCAAAGAGGCAGAAACTAAGTGTTACTGCCTATAAATCTGTGTCCTTGTTAGTGTTCAAAGCGCTTTGTCTAACAAGGTTTTGACATTTCAGGGTTGCATGTGAATTAATGTTTAGGTATTCTTAGATTTCCTCGCTGTTTCTTTAACCTGGCTATTGATCATAATGTCCTTTTTACCCATACGTCCCTGAATGTGCTACTGTGAGCATAGTCTAAGCGATACTGAGTTTATCAGGCCATTACTAGTTTGACTCACCGGATATAAGCTGCACCTTATAAACCTGCATTGGCTGGCTATATAGGCCAACATTCCTTCCCCCCTTCCGCTATCTGCGTGTTGGGTTTTTAAAATCCCCTTTGCTATGGGAAACAACAATAACCTCTGAGCTAAGAACTGAAAAAAATAGCATGTTTTGGTGAAGATGTGGATTGTGCAATAAGGCAAACCTGTTTTGTTGTTTCTGGGAATTGTTGTAAAGATTTACAACCTATAAAACAACTTGTGAACACACCTCAGAGAAACCCAGACTTAATCTCGCAAGACTCTCATTCCTGATGTTGATCTGCTTTCTGACATGGTCAGTCAGAGTTGGTTTGTCACATCTTTTTATCCCTGCAGCAGCACGCGCCCGTGACATTGCCTTCAGCAATTTACCGATCCGTTCCACTTCACACGAGCCTCTGTGACACCATCGTGATAATGTTCTGTTCTGCAAGTGCCACATGCAGCCAGCAAATCGATTTTGGTTTTTGTACAGGTCCAGTGAGCTCCTCCAGAGCTAAAGTATAGTCAGGCTTCACCCTTATTATATTAAGTTTCTTTTTTTTTTATTAGTAAAGTTGAATCACAGGGTTGACATATGTCTGTTAGGCCTACTGTTGTTGGTGGCATTTTCTTTTGCAGAGAATTACCTATTATAATGACAGTGCTAACCTCCTCATGTGCAAATGTAACACGATTTTGCATGGGTACCGTTGCTGCATCCTGGGCTCAATACAATTGTGATTGGTTTAAAGAAATACAGACATACCAGAGCATTTTTTCCCCTATAACAAAATGATGATAAGTGCTTCCAGACCTTTCTCTCATGTTGACACAGTGCTGCTGAGAGTCTGGCAATGTGAGACAAGGCCAATACTAATATCCGTAAACAGAGCTCCCTCTGCACAGCCAGTCTCAAGGATCAGGTGCTAGTTGGCCACAGGAACATCTTCAATAAAATCATCAACATAAACCACCGCACACTGAACTGAATTATTGTGATTTTATTTAGCGCGAATAACGTGCTTCACCCGTGGCTTCTTCAGGTTCACTCGACTAATATCAGTATATGGAATTTTAAAAAATCTGCTAATGATATATTGGCTGATAGTAAACACGTAGCATAAACAAACATTGCTGGTACAGGGTTTTATTTATTCTATTTAATTTGAATTGAAACGAAGATAGCTATTAATCGTAGCATAAACGCTAGCTCCCACAGAAGAAACAGTATTGCCAGACCTCTACTGGTGGACACATCTCTACCTTTCCATGTCATATACTGTCATGTCGCCCAGCCCTATTATACATAAATAAAAAGCTGAATGAAAATACTTAACAAAAGCAAATACTGTATGTAAAAGCTCTGTTCTTATGTGTGACCTAACCACATAAATGCGTTTTTCTTCTTCTTCTTCTTCTTACCCTGCCCTGTGCTGTGTTACCAGCATGAGCACACCGTCCTCAGGTCGCAAGACCCCAGTGGACTACGGTGTCCAGATCCGCTTCATCAATGACCTCTATGACACTGGCGGGGGGCAGCCTGGGCCACAGCCCAAGACCAAGACCAAGACCCAGACCACCTCCAAGTACGGCGTGGCGGTCAGGGTGCAGGGCATCGCTGGCCAGCCATATGTGGTCCTGAAGGACGGAGAGAAAGGAGACTCGTATGGGGTTCAGCTCAGGACCCAGGGCCACCCCGGTTACAGTAGCCTACCCCGGCGGAGAGAGAAGGCAGAACCAGGAACACAGGGGGCAGATGTAGGAGGTGGGCAGGGAGGGGCACTACGCCGGGCACAGTCCCATGGGTCACTGCTGGAGAGGGATGGAGAGGGAGTAGCAGGCAATGAGGATTTTCAGTTGTCCAGGCCACCAGGAGATGGGAAGTCTGGAAGTTATGGGAATCTGGATGGAGGAATTGGAGTAAGAGGGGACAGAGAGCAGGTTCAGCGTGTCAGTAGCAGAGAGGGGAGCATGGAACGGAATATGTGGGATGGTTCGTACAAAGCTGGGCTCAACGGGTCAGTGGGGTCAGTGAGGAGCAGTCAGTCCTACCCTGCCCCTCCTCAACAAACAAATCAGAGACAAACTCCTGTCAACAGACAAATAAACAGGTTTGACGGTGGTAACACTGAAAGCCAACAGAGAGGACTCCATCCCCAACAGCAAGATCCCAGAGCTACATCTCCTCTCCTCACCCCCAACCCCTACAACTCACCTCCGTCCTCAACTCAGAGCAGCCTGGGACGCAGCCAGCCTGCTGTCACCAAATTTCCAGGACACTCGGCTAATCACTGGACTTCACCAGGGAGATACGCTGCTGCTGAGACGCCGCAGGCCACTCTGACTGAGGCACAAGTAAGAATAAAATATTTAATAGCTGAGCATTACCACTGATTTTTAGTGAGCTCCAAACACCATGTAGCATGCAACATTGCAAGAGTAGTTTTCTGATCTATGTCTCAAGGTGACTCCTGACCTTTTGCTGGACCAGGGTCAGAGTGCAGAGGCGAACAGCGAGGAGGAGCAGGTCATGCAGACTATATACAACATCCTGAGACAAGGGTATGGACCTACACCTAGGGTAGAGGTTTTATTTCGTTATCATAATGCACTGGTGATGAATGATTACTGTCGTGTACGTTTGACCATTTTCACCTTCTCTCAGGAGCAACGAGAGTGATGTCGTCATCAAGCACAAAGTCAAGGTCATGTTTCAGAAGATTCAGAGTCTCAAGGTTTGTATGTAATTCTGTAAGGCTTTGTTTCTGCCTGTTTTATACGTCAGGTAAAGACATAGTATGAGCAAGCTGCTTACGTTTGTCTCCATTTATCTTGGTCTTCAACAGCCTAAAGAAAGACCTCAAGAAGAATGGATGAGAGAAAAGAGGGAGCTTGAAAGTAAGATGGCTGAACTACAAACTGCCCTGCAGGAGGAGAGAAGGGTAAGCAAAGTAGAAATAAAGATGTGAGGGCATAGATTTTTTTTATATTGATAGCCATCCAAATACTAACAGTAGGTTATTAGCAGTGCTGAAATTTATCTCTACGCTTTTCTTAAGTGCACAGGACAATTTTACATTCATAAACAATACTGGAATTTCTTTCAGTGCCATGATAGATATCATGATAGAGCTTTGATCAAGGCCACAAAAATCAGGCTCGACCCTATATGAACCTGCGCAGTGTCTGTCCTAGCCTGACTTGAGCACGAACCACGGCAGAAGTTTTGGGCCCGAACCCATTAAAATATCGACTTTCTAGTGTTAAAAAAAACAACAACAACAACAACAAAAAAAATACATACATTTTTATTATTAAAACATTTATTACAAGCTAAGGGCTAGGGACTATTTTCTTGCACCACCACTTCTTCCTTTTCTTCCTTCTGTTATTTCAATAGTCTGTCGTCTCATACACGACAGGCTCAGCAGAGCGGGCAGCTGCTGGGGAGTCAGAAGCAAACATTGCCCACTAAGTCTCCTTGCACCCCCCCCCCTTTCTCTCTTGCTCTCGTTTTCTGCTCCTTTCGCATGTGTACTCCTCATTCTCCACTATATTGCTTGATCTCTCTGTCACTCTCCCTCTCTCTCAGTCGCTATCCCCCTCTTGTGATTTGGTTCATGGCAGCCCCTGCCATTTATGCATGAGAACTGCCAGTCTTATTTAAAAAAAAATCACTGGTAAATTGGCCAGAGCCTGACCTGACTCAAGCTTGTGGAAATATTTTGAAATTACAGCCCCGCCTGGCTCTGCCCGAACCAGGCAGGTTAAGTTGGGCTCAGTCGGGCTTGGACAGAGAATTAAAGCTCTATTCTACAAGGAAAAATAGACATTAAGGGCATACAATCATAGATATTTATTTAAAGATAAATATAACAAGGGTATAACATGACAACTTTTCTTGGTTAGTAGCAGAGAACAGCAGAGTGACTGTAGTAAACATTAACAATATGAGAGTGAGAAAGCGCAGCTGGTACCAATGTATCGATGCTGCAGAAAATGTTAGATGCAGAAAACCCTTTAAAATATTCAGACTCAATATACATCAACAAATCAATATATCTGACAGCACTACACTGAAGAATGTACAAGTTTTAGGTTGTTGCTGACATTTCAGTGCCTCGAATGACCCACCAACCTCTCTAAATTCACTTGGCTGATTGGAACTGGCTGCCACCAGAAGACGTTCACATTAGTAGAGTAACCTGCCACTTTAAATCAGCTCTGATTACATGGTGCACATCCAATGCCACACACATCAAGACTCTCATCCAAGTCTCCTAAAACCCCCTCTGCTATCAAAGTGTAGGAAAATAGCTGTTGGTTGGTTGAGAGTGCGAAGCTGTCCTCAGTGTTTTTATGTCTCTAAATAATCTAACCAGGAGCGCTGGGGGGTTTCTTGGAGTGTGCTTCAGATTAATCCTCACATTAATCCTTAAAGCCCTCTGGCCTGGTCAAAGGTGCACACACACAATAATCTAACTTCAATAATGACTCATTATGAGTTGGTTTAAGGAAGGTGGGCAGGTCTTAATCCCTAATAGCTCCTAAGAACTTAATCCCTTATGCATATTGATTGGTGGGCAAATGCAAGCTTGCTGTAACATTTCCTAAAAGCCCATTGTTAATGCCACCAGAGCTACCTGATGTCTAATGTTTCACTGCTCTCATTTATTCATCATGTCTGCTTGTGCGTAGGACTCTGTTAGCAATTCTGATCCCACTCTGAAAGCTGAGCTGGAGTCCTGTCTGGATGAAAATCTGCAGCTCCGGGAGATGCTGGACCGGAAGAAGAAAGAATTAAATGAAACACAATCAGAGTGAGGACACGGCTGCGTTCGCACACTCAAACACACACGCAGATAGGGGAAAGCAGGAAGGGGGCATGGTACCATTGTCTATGAGTCTTTGTGGTCAGGAGTGAGAGGGCTGCCTGACAAGCCCACTTTGTTTTCAAGCACACGCTCCTCACAATTTCATAAAACAAGCAGTTACTGTAACTTATTCACAAGACAAACAAGTGTGCCATAGTCGCATGAATTGAAGGAATCATTCAGCAGTGTTTATGTCCTCTTTTCATCGCAGGCTGACTCAGCTGCGTATGGACAGGGAGAACGCAGAGGCACGGGTCAGAGAAATGGAGGACCAGCTGGCTGAGCTTCAGGATGAACTGAGAAGAGAGAATGGCAACAAGACGGTATTACAGAAACACACTCGCATAAATAAACCCACACAGATGCACAGGGAGAAACTATCTCAACCCACTATTGGGTTTTTTAATAAGATGAGACTGAAATCTAGACTAAACTGAAAAGGTTTTGCAGTTAAAAGCAAGATTAACTTCCTGTTAAATAGATGGTTCACCCCAAATAATAAATACACACTTTTCCTTTTACCTGTAGTGCTATTTATCACTCTAGATTATTTTGGTGTTAGTTGCAGAGTGTTGGAGATATCAGCCATAGAGATGTCTGCCTTCTCTCTTGCATCTACTGTTATTTCACCTAGCACCACCGAGCCAGCTAACATTATACCTCATCCAAGGTAGACGCTAATGATATTTACATCTCAGGCTGTCATATTCAAGAGCCATGTGTAGATGCATGCTTCCTCCTGCGCAGTGGTATGGTTGAGGGGTGTAGAAAGAAAGTAGTTCCTACATGAAACAGCTCGCAACATGGTCTGTGGATTATCATGAGTACCTGGGTCATGATTTCTGAAAAGAGACATTGCTGTTGAGTTTTAAAATGAATTTTGAGCACCACAAGCTGAGTGCCATCTAGTTCCATTATATTCAAGAGAAGGCAGACAACATTACTCGGCATCTCACACCAAAACAATCTAGGTTGATAAAAAGCATGACAGGTAGGAGGAAAAACATATTTTTAATATTGAGTGAACTGTCCCTTTAAGAAAAAGCTGTATAAGGTTTGTGTAAACAAATGAGCAATACTGTACAAACAGGAGGCTGAGAGATCAAAAGCATCAAGTTAATATTGTGTGTACCCTGTTCCCTGCAGGACTTGATATCTTGTCAGGCACAACTGATGGAGGTGTGCCAGCTGAAACAGAAGCTGGAGGAGACGCTAAGACAGAGAGAGAGGGAGCTAACTGCTCTCAAAGGAGCTTTGAAGGAAGAGGTAGCCACGCACGACAAAGAGATTGAGGTGCTCAGAGAGCAGTACAGCACCGACATGGAGAAGCTCCGCAGCAGCATGGAGCAGGTGTCTCAGGTGTGTGCACGAACACAGCAGCCAGCTCATCATTACTTTCATTTTACATGAGTCAAAATGAAGGTCAGAAGGGTCAAACCAGTCCAACAACAACAGACCACTTCCGGTAAACTCAGAGAAACCACTTCTACATATATCAAGTTTTTGTGAAAATCTTTTTCTTTTGGCTTTTAGTAGATTGTCTTATTGAGATTGATTTACAAGAGTCAGCTTGTAGCACATCCACGTCTCACTCAAGGATATTTTGACACGGTACATGAATGCTGTGAGAGAGAAATGTGAACCCTACATATACATATATATTTATATAAGAATAAATGTTTCCTCATGTATAATTATATAATTTTTACCTACGAATGCTGTTACTCTCCTAAAATGAAAGGAACAGTGTGTGGGATGTAGTCGCATGTAGCGGTGAGGATTGCAGATTGCAACCAGCTGAAACTTCTCCCATACTCCAAGCATGAAGTCCTGGTTACAATTCCCTCCATGGTCCTTGTTCAGGAGATTATTACCGTGAGCCAAATTATCTGCAGAGATCTCTTCCTCTCCAGAACAAGCACACCCAGTGATTTAAACCTGTAAAAACACTGAACAAAGCAGTTTCACGTTACAAATCCTTTTTTATCTGGTGGTGTTCGGCATGTTGGAGACAGACCGCTAGTCCAGCACCTGCTACTGTAATATATCCTCACCTTTTTTCTCTGATAACTTAAGATCCAAACGTTCAGAGGGTTTTTACCCCAAGCTGAATTATCTGCTCAGTTCTTTTCCTCTCTTAAACAAATGGACAGAGTGATTTAAACCAGTAAAAACACTGAATAAAGTAGGTTCAGGTTGACAAAGTGGTGTTTTTTCGGTGCTGCCTGCAATAGAGTGGATTTCACTACCTGTCAGAGTACTAGCACAGGAATGTCTGCAGAGGAGATGCAGCATGCACAGGTGCACTGAGCACGCTCGGTCAGGTGCACTATCATAGCAGCAAGACATAACATTTTAACCTTGACCTCCTCAATGAAAATAGTATCTTCAATAAACGCAGAGGTCTATCTATGTATGTTTTTATGTCTATTAAATGTTAGGGATATTTACAACATGCCCTAATTCTTCTTCTGTGGTGCATTTTAGTCTCACGCAGGGATCGAGGCAGAGCGGTTGCGTGTGAATGCATCCGTTCGCACCCTACAACAACAGTTGGAAGACTGCAGAGATGAGAGCAGCCACTGGATGGAGCAGTTTCACACCACCAGAGACGAACTTCGAACAACCAAACAAGAGTGAGTTTATTCTAATATATTTCTCACAGAGTATATTCATTATAACCCACCTGGATTTTGGGCTCTCCAATGCTTACTCAGACATGGGTTTTTGTCACCATCTTTTCATGGTTCTTTGCACCTGCTGTACTACTAATGTGTGTCCATCTTTCCTCTTTCACTCTACAATGTTTCTCCCCCTCTCTGTCAGAGAGCCACCCAGCAGCACTGAAACACCGTGAGAGTCACTATGTGAACAGCATTTGTGTTTAGATGTGCAGACCTGTAGATGTGGCTAGCTGTGCTAACAACTGTGACTGTAGTTTCAAGGTCATCCACACTGACAGACCTAATTCTTTCTACAGTGTCTACATGATCCATATTTAAATATATATCATGAACCCTCAAATACCAGTGGAATGATATGTGGACCATATTTAGTTCTGTGGTTGAGCAGAATTGGTGCTGGAAACCAGTCACCAGGGTTCTCACGGGTCCTTAAAATCCTTAAAGGTTTTGAATTATAGGGAAAAAATCAAGGCCTTCAATGTTTTTGAAAATAGATATAAATAATTAATCTGTGTCTCAAACTATGCTGTGTTGTGTCCTTGAATTTGAAGGAAGTAGGCCTGGAAAGTCCTCCAAAAGCCCTTGGTGTTTTACAAAGTGTGAAAAACCTGAGTCACAATTTATGTCTTCATGTGTCCATACAGTGTAAAACTGTATGTCAGCAGAAACTAAAGGGTGGTGTGGATGACCTTAAATTTCTATGTTTAGCAAAAATGTGTCGTAGATTTGTTTTCTGTGAGTATGTCTGACTGTTAGATGGTAAAATGTAAATGCTGATTCATTTCCTGTTGTTTGAAGATTAAATAATGACTTATTTGTTTATTGACTTACATCAAAGTGAATTAAGCTCACCTGCCATGATTCACCTGTACAATCCAACTGCTGCGGATCAGCTAATCAAGCAGCACTTACAATACTTTTATGGGGTACATTTTGTCTGACTCAGCTGTATTTAATGTACACTTTTTAGACTCTTGCAAGCCCGTCTGGAAAAAGAGGAGTTTGAGGAGGAAATAAAGGAGCTCCAGGATAGAGTGAGCACCATGAAACAGCAGATACCCGACCCTGCTCACTCACAGACTCTCAACCAGGTGAACATACACACACGATCTCTGATGCCTGATCTGTTTAACAAAAATTAATCAGTCAAACCATCAAATTGTCAATTGTTTTGTTCAGGAACTTCAGCGATACAGTGCTGATCTACAGAAGGCCAAGTCTGAGGTGGAGAAGCAGAGGACGGCATTTGACAAGAAGGTCATGGAGGTCATCTCCATAAAAAAATCTCACCAGGACCAGGAGGCAGAACTGAAGTATGAGATTGACAGGTTGAAGGACCAGTTACAGAGGGCCAAAGAGGATATAACCAAGGCCCAGGAGAAGAGCAAACGGGTTTGTTAAATCTTACAGTGAGGAGCTGAAGCACCCTGAAGGGATTACTTAAATTTTAGTGAGGTTTTAATAATGTAAAAACAACAAATCATGGTGATGTGTATGTGGTAGTTTTGGTTATTACAATGATGAGATTTGCGTTTAATCTCCATCATCTCTCTTGTATTTTTTTGCCAATATCATTCCCTTGTCTTTTTGCCAATAGCTCCCAGACCCATCTGTCATCTCAGAGCTGGAGCAGAAGGTCAGTGAGGCACAAGGTGAAGCTACCCAGCTCAAAGAAAAACTCTTATTAGCTGAGGAGGAAGTGGAGACCAGTAAAACACGTCTCAGTAGAGCTCAGATGGACATTAAGTCACTCGAAGATGCCCAGCAGGAGCAGGAGGAGGCCAACACACGTCTCAAAGAGAAACTCTCACGGTTAGAGGTAGGTCACACACCACAGTGTGGCACTGACTATCAGTGCATTAGAAGCAGCAGACATATTTAAGCATTACTGGACATCCTCTGTGGTTTCCTCAGGCTCAGCTGCAGTCCAATGCCACAGAGAGCTCAGAGGCAGAGATCGCCCTCCACGCTGAGGTGAGAGGCTTGAGATCTGAGCTAGATGAGGCCAAGAGAAAAGCTTCCCGACTGAGCCAGGAGCACCGTGATCTTATCCTGCGCGTGGAGGATGTGGAGAAAGACAAGGAGACACTCAAACAAACCCTCAACCAGCTGGAGGAGGCCAAACGACAGCAGGAGAGAGCTCTGGAGAAAATCAACAAAGAGGTAAGCAGAGGAGATCCTTTTTATTTATTTGCAAAGAAATGAAAGCTCCCAACTGCTCTTTAGAGCACTCGCAGGACAAAAAAAAAACAAACAAACATTCACCCTCTGTTTTTTCCCCTCTCCCTCCCGGTCTCCCGTCAGTATGAGTCGCTGACCATGTCCTCAAGAGAGGAGGCGCAGACTCTCAGGGTTCAGCTGGAGGAGCAGAGAGAGAGGGCACGCAAGGAAATGCAGGAGGCGCAACGTCACGGAAGCGACGCTAAGAGTGAACTGGATAGAAGTCATGTAAATCTAAGGAGACTGGAGGAAGAGGTGTGTGTTTGTGTTTTGAGTGTTTGTGTGCATGCTCACTGACTTGCTTGGCCTGGTTGTTTGTTTGTTATTATGAAAGTCTGGTCTGAATGTTTTCAATAGTTTTGACACATAATATTCATGGTGCATGCTTGGCTGGTTGTGTTCATGGGTCTGTGTGATGCAAACATGCAAAACCACACATTTATTTCATGATGGAAATTGAGTCTGGCATCTCTGTTTCTAATATTATTATGAATCTAACTAGATGTCACGACAAAAGAAGGAGCTTCTGCTTGCATGTGAGGAGAGAGACAACCACCAGCTGGATAAAGAGCTTCTGACCAACAGACTGCGCCACCTTGAGGGAGAGATGGAGGCTAACAAAAACAGCCATAATGAGAAGGCCCGGGAGATTCGCATCCTGGAGGTAAGATATGTGCATCTGCTCGCCTCCATGGTTTGGGAGAATAAACTATGACCTCAGGGCTCTGTGCTGTTAATAGCTGTGCTCTGCATGCACTGTAGTCTGTGCAAATTTCTGGACATGTTTCTACACAGTTCTTACTTTCATTTGTAAACCAAACAAAAATATGGTTTATAGATAACATGTAGGTAATAATTAAGTCGATAGAGATATACTCCCTTATCAAGAAGTACAACAGGTCAAGAGTACTTACATGCTCACATGTACAAACTCAGCATCAATAAGTCTCTCACTGAGGCTAATCCAGTACACACAGTCTCCTTTCTGAGCATGTGTTTCTGTTGTGTTACATCCATTTGGTTTCCTCAGCATATTAGAGAGAGAGTTATGATATATTTTATATAGTAAAAAGACTTGAAGCAGTTCTTTAAAAAAAAAAATTCATTTGAAAGAAGGTTACATTTGTATGATTTTAATTTGTGCTTACTTAAAGATTTCTTTGTTTCCATGGTACAAAAAAGGAGATAACTAACAAGAAAAAAGAAATAAACAACAGCAAAAACAACTTTGCTATCAGCCAGCACCCAAATTGTTACCTTAAATATGGGAATTGGCCCAGAGTTTTACAACCAGTGCATCCCTACTGATCGTCTAATACAGTGGATCTCATCTTGTCCCCATCAGGATAAGCTGAAGCGTTTGGAGTTGGAACTGGAGGAGGAGAAAAGCAGCGTGGAGATGCTGACGGACCGAGTGGCCAGGAGCAGGGACCAGATTGATCAGCTCCGCTCCGAGCTCATGCAGGAAAGATCCTCCAAACAGGACCTGGAGCTGGACAAGAACGCCATGGAGAGACACGTATGTAACACATACACAACGTATGTGTCTGCTGACATTTTTGATTAATAGTAACTGAGTTTCATCCAATCAAAACATACCCACCCTGCTGCCCCAGTTGTATTTTGGGTATTGATGACCTTCTCTTTGTCCATGTCCGTCCCTGCAGCTGAAGGAGCTGAGAAGTCGTGTGGCTGACATGGAGGGCCATTCTCGCTCCTCAGCAGGAGTCTCCCAGCTGGAGAACAAGATCCAGGAGCTGGAAGAACGCCTTCGGTGTGAGGAAAGGTACAGAGCAACAAATAGAAAACATGCTGCAGTCCACTAGATCCCCATATTGGATCATATTTTTTTCACCCTTGTTTGTTTGTTTGTTTATTTGACAGCATGTACAGTACAGGCCAAAAGTTTGGACACATCTTCTCATTCAATGCATTTTCTTTATTTTCATGACTATTTACATTGTAGATTCTCACTGAAGGCATCAAAACTGTGAATGAACGCATGTGGAGTTATGTACTTAACAAAAAAAGGTGAAATAACTGAAAACATGTTTTATATTCTAGTTTCTTCAAAATAGCCACCCTTTGCTCTGATTACTGCTTTGCACACTCTTGGCATTCTCTCCATGAGCTTCAAGAGGTAGTCACCTGAAATGGTTTTCCAACAGTCTTGAAGGAGTTCCCAGAGGTGTTTAGCACTTGTTGGCCCCTTTGCCTTCACTCTGCGGTCCAGCTCACCCCAAACCATCTCGATTGGGTTCAGGTCCGGTGACTGTGGAGGCCAGGTCATCTGCCGCAGCACTCCATCACTCTCCTTCTTGGTCAAATAGCCCTTACACAGCCTGGAGGTGTGTTTGGGGTCATTGTCCTGTTGAAAAATAAATGATCGTCCAACTAAACGCAAACCGGATGGGATGGCATGTCGCTGCAGGATGCTGTGGTAGCCATGCTGATTCAGTGTGCCTTCAATTTTGAATAAATCCCCAACAGTGTCACCAGCAAAACACCCCCACACCATCACACCTCCTCCTCCATGCTTCACAGTGGGAACCAGGCATGTGGAATCCATCCGTTCACCTTTTCTGCGTCTCACAAAGACACGGCGGTTGGAACCAAAGATCTCAAATTTGGACTCATCAGACCAAAGCACAGATTTCCACTGGTCTAATGTCCATTCCTTGTGTTTCTTGGCCCAAACAAATCTCTTCTGCTTGTTGCCTCTCCTTAGCAGTGGTTTCCTAGCAGCTATTTGACCATGAAGGCCTGATTGGCGCAGTCTCCTCTTAACAGTTGTTCTAGAGATGGGTCTGCTGCTAGAACTCTGTGTGGCATTCATCTGGTCTCTGATCTGAGCTGCTGTTAACTTGCGATTTCTGAGGCTGGTGACTCGGATGAACTTATCCTCAGAAGCAGAGGTGACTCTTGGTCTTCCTTTCCTGGGTCGGTCCTCATGTGTGCCAGTTTCGTTGTAGCGCTTGATGGTTTTTGCGACTCCACTTGGGGACACATTTAAAGTTTTTGCAATTTTCCGGACTGACTGACCTTCATTTCTTAAAGAACAACGTTTTTCTTTAGTTAGCTGATTGGTTCTTGCCATAATATGAATTTTAACAGTTGTCCAATAGGGCTGTCGGCTGTGTATTAACCTGACTTCTGCACAACACAACTGATTGTCCCAACCCCATTGATAAAGCAAGAAATTCCACTAATTAACCCTGATAAGGCACACCTGTGAAGTGGAAACCATTTCAGGTGACTACCTCTTGAAGCTCATGGAGAGAATGCCAAGAGTGTGCAAAGCAGTAATCAGAGCAAAGGGTGGCTATTTTGAAGAAACTAGAATATAAAACATGTTTTCAGTTATTTCACCTTTTTTTGTTAAGTACATAACTCCACATGTGTTCATTCATAGTTTTGATGCCTTCAGTGAGAATCTACAATGTAAATAGTCATGAAAATAAAGAAAACGCATTGAATGAGAAGGTGTGTCCAAACTTTTGGCCTGTACTGTACCTAAGGACTGTAACTAAGTAGTACATTTACCCAAGAGCTGTACTAATATACTTGAGTATTTCCATTTTATGCTACTTCAACTCCACTACATTTTGGAAGCTAATATTGTAACACTTAAATCACACATCAGATCTTGATGAACAAATGAGTCAAATTGAAAATCTTTACTGATGGACATTATATAATGTATTGAGAACAAAATGACGCTAAAATGGTCAGTGGAAACCAAAATCATCAACCCAGGGCTGGATTTAAAATCACACTGAAAATCAAAGTAAAAAAGTAAAAAATTGAGATCACAGGCTGATGCAACTTGCGTGAATTTTATCATGGCAACTCATAATGTGACTCAGTAGTGAATGCAGCCCTCACGTGCCTGTATGCTCTCCCGACAATGTCTGGGCATGCTCCTGATGATTCGGCGGATGGTGTCTTGGGAGATCTCCTCCCAGACCTGGATCAGGGCATGAGTGAGCTCCTGGACAGTGTGTGGTGGTACTTGGCAACGTCGGATGCACCGATACATAACGTCCCATAGGTGTTCAATTGGAAAGTGAAGATGTATTAGTGTGGATGCAGCTTCACTGTAATATAGTTCAATGGTGTTCATTATGTCTTTAGTTTCTGATAATGACTTTAGTTGTTCTTTTATCTCAGACATGTTAGGATGTTACATACCTTGACATGTTTCGGCGGAAACTTCCGCCTTCCTCAGAAGTGTCACTTGGTGGTGGTTGTGACGCGTCTTTATCAGCTGATCTGTCAATCAGCCGATATTAAGGACGCATGACCGTCCTGTCAAAAACTGACAGGACGGTCACGCCCTGCAAGCATGTATGCCCCCTCGTCCCTGTTCATTGTCCCTTAAGGAAGTGGGGCCCAGGGACAATGAACAGGGACAAGGGGGCATACATGCTCTCCCACACCTGGAGCAGCATCCTGGAAAGGCGGCGGACGGACAGCAGGTGGCGTGACTGTCCTGTCAGTTTTTGGCAGGACAGTCACGCCTCCCTAATATCGGCTGATTGACAGATCAGCTGATAAAGACACATCATAACCACCACCAAGTGACACTTCTGAGGAAGGTGGAAGTTTCTGCCAAAATATGTCAAGGTATGTAACATCCTAACATGTCTGAGATAAAAGAACAACTAAAGTCATCACTGTAATATAGTTATGCATACACACACATACCCGAGAGTAAAGTAAAGCCAGACATTAACACCTGGCTACAGAGCATCTTAATGAGAGCAATGAGGTGGCAAATGTCTTGCTCAGGGGCATTTTGGCAGTAGTTGAGATGAGGGGAATATGACTCATTAACATGCTCACATCTCTCATGCTCTGCTCTTCTCTTGTATTCATGTAAAGGGAGAAGAACTCTGTGTTGGCATCTCAACGACGTCTGGAGAGGAAAATAAAAGAACTTAACTTGACACTGGATGAGGAGAGACAAACACACACTGAACAAAGGGACCAGGTATACACATTCACCTCCTACTGTATGTCAGTATTTGAATTTACTCTTGATATATGGGAATACATAAATATAAAATGCGTACACAGTAAAATTGCACTTTAACCTCATCCTGTGTTACAGATTGCTCTGAGAGTGAAAGCTCTGAAGAGGCAGGTGGACGAAGGAGAGACCGAGCTGGAGAGGATAGATGGACTGAGGAGGAAGGCCCAGAGAGACATGGAGGAACAGATGGAGCTCAAAGAGGCCCTGCAGGCCAGAGTCACAGCACTGGAAACTGAGCTCAAGTAAGCATTTCCCTTTCTTTGTATCCAATTCTGTCTCTCATCCAATTTGTTACTCACTGTGCGCTTATGCAAGACACGTCCTGACAGCCAGATTATCACAGCAATGTGTGCGAGTGAGTAAGAAGGAGAGACACCATCTCCTCCTTCCTATGGCACAGACGGAATAAAACTGCGTGTAAATGACGTTATTAGCAGCGAACCCAGATTCCTTTTCTGTTACACACAATTACACACACTAAGTAGGGATTCACATAACCTCCCCGAGGTGCAGTATTTCACAACAAATCAGCAATCACCATGTGTGAACAGGTATTTCATTAAATTAAAAAGGCACATTACTCATGTACCACGGGGGAAATTAAATTCCAGACATGCTCCCACTAGTAACAAGGAAGTGCATGTTGTTGCCAGCAGAGGGAGCACTATGATCACTTGGCAGCACTGACACGTGAATAAAACATCAAAGTGTGTTTCAACAGCTAATGATGATATTAATAATGTCAATGATTATGTGTCACAGGAGGAAAACCCAGGCAGCAATGCGCCCAGCTTTGGATTCATCGGTCCTCAGCTCAGATGATGACGACAGCCTGTATGACCCCTCCACCATCACCTCCATCCTCACTGAGGGCAACCTCCAGACCAGCTCCTGTTAAGACAGCGCTTCAGGGACAGGATGAGGGTGGGAAAATGTAGCACTGCTTAGGGAAACAAATGGAAGGAAGTGTAGGTTAGCTGCTTTGTAGACTGGGAGTTAAAGCCAAAAGGCAGAATGGTATACACTACAGACAAGGAGGGAGGGGTGCAAGGACCTAATGATATATTGTAGACATTAGCGGGTAAATGATTTTCCACACCAGAGTGAATGGAGGGAAACAAAACATCCTCTGCATTTCTGGGTGTTTCCTTCAGTCTACAATCTACACTGATGTTCTCCATGGTACAGTTGGAAGTACTCCAACATATGAAAACTAACTACCGCACAAACTCAGTAACTGGAATGCAAGGAGAGACATTAAGCTGGAAGCAGAGAGAGATATAAATAAAAAATACCTCTTGCATTTTTTGATATAAATTCAGTATGTTAAACCATTTCAGGTTTGAGACTCTGAGTCAAGCACTTACGGTACCAAGTCTGGTTTTGACTGAACAATCAAAAATACTCGTTTGGTCAGTTTACCTGTTGGTAGCCACAACCATCAAATCACTAAACTTCTGTATCCCAGTGTGCACAAACATTAGGTAGGACTACTAACAAACATAGACCAAACACTGACATTGAGTGCATTCACGATTAAACTATAAGCAATATAACACTTTAAATCTTAAGCTGGTTTTCTCACAGTTATTTTGCCTAACCAAATCAAATGGTTTAAGTACTGCTTATTATACGTAATGAATGAAATGTGGAGTTTGTTTACGCAAAACAAAATATATTCTCACGTTTTTAATGTCACACGGTACACAGGCTAGGAATTAAGAATTATAATATGACACTAATAGCACCTGAAACGCACTGTTAAAAACTATAAATGTGATAGAAACCTCACATTGGTGGGAAGGTTTGATTAGTTATGTTAGTCATTGTTCACTGTATGAAGCAGCTTCCTGTTAGAGGTGCAACAGACGTTTGGTTCTGTGGTCTATAACTTTGAGGACAGATGGGACATTTGTCAGAACATCGTATACTGTGTGGACAGTTTCATTGCTGTTATGTTGCTTGGTCCTTGTTTACAGCTACCAAGGAAAATATAAGATCTTTTATTCCTTGTCAGCTACTGCATCAAAAAGATTTTCAACATACACTTGGACACATTCAGAATATTTATGTTGTCAAGTTTGAAACTGTCTTTCAAAGTAAAATAATGGCCAAATATCTTCCTGTCTGCAGTGGTGCCCCCAAGGAGGGGTGGGGTATCATGATTGCCGGTCCCCTTAGTGAAAATAATAGGATGCCAACATAACTGTTTTTAAGAGGCTCTGGCGTGCTTATTTTTTTTTGAGCTAGCACAAAGGTAGTGGTCTCTTGTGATGTGAGACAACCTAACGCCCCGATCACACATAAAGCATTTTGCAGCATTTTTTGAATGCAACTGGTAAAAAAAAAATGCTTTTGCGGTGCCTTTTTTGTTGTTGTCAGGCAACCACTCCATCACGTCCTTACACTAACCCTCCCATGTATTCACTCTACCATTTTTTTTTCTCAGTAATTAGTAGCTAGTTACTAAAATGAGCAAGCAGAGGGTACTTGCTGTAGTTTTGGTTGAGGGTGAGAGACTGTCAGCAGTTTGTTGGTCGGAGATTTGTGTGGGTACTTGAGACCCTAAAAAAAGAGCATGGATCACAGGGAGTACAACCAGTTGGTCCAGTTGGTTCTCCTCCATGATGGCAGTTTACAGTCATATTTTAGGATGACTTGGGGGCAGTTTGACAACCTGCTGTCTATCATCGGGCCATAAAGCTCTAGGTATCCAGCAGTCGCTACCATCAGTTTCTCCTCCATTGTTTACCAACTGTGAACTTGTTGTCGTGACCACCACAGAAGGCCCGCCTCTCAGATCATCCAATTGGATAATGGGAAAAAAGACGACGTGGGGCACTTTTCCACTCTGAGTTTAGGTTTTTTCGACTTAAGGAGTTCAGAGCGCTCCAGCAAATACACCAGGCGCCTAGAGCACAGAAACGCGAGGCATGTCACAACATAGAAATTGTGAGCAAATTCTCATGAAAAGCCATTACAAAAAGCCTCCTCCAGCTGCTAAAACATTTTCTGTGTGATCAGGGCTCAAGGCATCCATTGGTTCTAGCCATGTTGGCAAGAAAGTTAGGCTAGATTTCGGCGAGGGAACAACTGACATAGCCATTTTCAAAGGGTTACCTTGAACTCTTATGTCTGAATTAACTCTTATAACTGAATGAAAATGTGTGGGTGCCCACGGGTCTCTCCTAAAGTTGAGAAAACTTGTTCCCAATAAATGCTTTTTTCCTCTAAATCAATGTACTCCTTCAAATTAAAACTGTCTTTTTAAAGGAAAAGAACAACCAGCCTAGTTGAAGAACAATGAATCACCTAACATGTATACATACATAACACATTAAAACAGGATTGTTGTGGAACTTACAATGTTAAATGTACTGGTATGAGTCCATGCATATTGGGTAATAAGTTATATAAACTGCAAAATAAAAAACCAAAGTATATCAGCATGTGATTCCTTAACTCCATATTGACAAAGTTTTAAACTAGCCTATGAACTTCAACAGCATATTCGAATCACCTATATCCAGTTACGTCTTTTGGTTTTGGTGTCACCTCGTGGGTTTCAGTGGCTCCAAATGTTCACCTCTGTGATGCCACTGCCTGTCTAATAAAAGCTTAAGAGTATTTGTAGGTGCTGCACTATATCTATGCATTCCTTAATAGCGAGTCACTGAAATATATTCTCATCATTTTCATTATGATGCCTTAAAATTGTTAAAAAGAATTTTGTAACTGTAATTCTTACCTGAATGATTTTGTAAAATGTTTGTATTTAACATTTGTAGATTTTTTTTTTTTTTTGAGTCTCGAGTTGATTTTTGTATACAGTTTGAACAATCAGCCAGAGCGATAATAACTGTATTTCATTTTGCTGCAATGTTATGTTTCTTCCTGTGTTTTCAGTCAAACTGGAAAATGCTAATTAATTTGATTTGTTAGACTGTTGAGTACAAAGATGTTGAATTTAAAGATGCTGGTATATGCTGTAATTATAACAAAAAAAGAAATCACACTGTGACTATACTTCACAATGTAGAATTTTTTCTATGGAAAATCTAGCAACAATAAAACTATGAAGTTGAACTGATGTTTCTTTGTTTGACCTTTTAATGTTCACAGAATGTTAATCAACTACTTTGACTGCATAGTTGTGTTTTTACACATTTCAACATGTGCAATTTCCTCATAGTTTTCAACATTTCTCTTTAACAGAAGGACGTCAGATGTCGCTGGCTCTCTGCCCACTGAGGCTGAGATTACAGCGGGAAGTGTTTGCACATTCCGGTGGATTTCGTAGGAGGCTCAGTTGGCTTCATTGGAAGAGCTCACTGTTGGAGGAAGTCAACAAATCTTTAACCTACATGTAAGTTGATGTGCAGTAATACACACACCAGTTCTACTTTGGAAAAAAAATCATATTTAAAAATGCAAGTCTGTTTCTGATGCTCCAAAAAATGACCAGAAAATCTGTTATTGCAGGTTTAATACTAATTTAATTGTAGCCAGAGGGAAAGACACCTACGCCAGTTGATAGCAGCTCTATTCTAAATAAAAGAGTAAAATGTGACTTGTACTAACGCTCCGTGTGATAGACAAACACTACAAATTAACAATACTGTATATATCACCATCTTCAAGAGGCATATGACAAGATAATAGAGATGGATCATGTCTTTGTTTCAGCTGCAGGGCAGTGCTTCCCTGGAATTAAAGGTTTGTTATCTAAGCCTGAGTTTCACACAAGTGTGTTGTATTAGCTTTTCAATACCACCTACAGGAGTTCGCTAAGCGTATAATAGTTATTATTACCGTGACAAGGACTGTGTGTGTCCTGTACCTGACATGGTCTGATTATAGCTTTGTCTTTTCTACATCTCAGACACTGGTGTTGAAGAGACAAATTACCGTGGCCCAGGAGACATTTAAACATGTTGTAGCAGGAAAAGCACAGGTGTGAGTAATAACATTAATTAGACCTACAGCTTCCTTCTGTGTGGGCTCTTCCAAGGTCCTGATACCGTGCCTGCTGCATTTCCTGCTGGAGCACTTCAACAGAATGAAGCCATCATTAATGTTATTAATCATGTTTGTGCTTTCCGCTATGTCATTATGTCTGCTGTGAGAAAAGGATTTATCCATTATTTCTTAAGGTGTATCAATTACATTTTTGTGTAACAGTGTGACATCTAAACCAGTGGTTCCCAACTGGTGGGTCGTGGACCACAAGTGACTTGCAGACGTGAGTACAGTGAATTTCCAGCACAGAGCTTTTATTTTGAAGTGCTGTAGATTGAGTGACTAAAGGACAGCTACTTGAGAGAAACAGTAAACTAGCTCGACGACATGGCCAAATGCAAGTTTCACGCTAAATATATCAAACTGTGTTGACCTTCAACTAATGACTAAGGAGAAATGTGGACTCCGTGGCTGGACCAGTTGGGACCCAGTGACCTAAACAGCACAGGCCCTCCTTCCACCCTGCATTCATGTGGTATCGGAATATTCGGAAAAATGAGTTCCCAACTCCAAAAATTAGAGTTAACGCCACCTCAAATCAGAACAACTGGGAAAGTTAGAAAAAATTTTGGTCCACAAGTTGCCGAGGTGACGTCATATATGCAGAAACATGTAATGTGTGAATGGTATTAGCTTGTAACCTTTAGTTGCTGTCCACATAGAGTGACCTAGATCAGTTAGAAAAGTTATTCATTAGCATTACTCAGGTAAAGAAATGTTTTTGTAGTTGCAGGCAACGATGGGCCTACAGGGCACAGGCCCAGGGGCTCAAGGTACTGTATTGGGGCCCCTCCATATTCTTCACCTGCAAAATGTTACTCAGATTAACTAATGAGACTTAAAATGACTACAAAGAGACACAAAGGTAAGGTAAGGTAAACTTTAATGTCCTTGAGGGGCAATTTTAGATACAGACAGTAGTCATACGTACAACAAAACACACAGTACTACCCAGTATCACACACTGTCGGGGGTAAATCATGGATTAGTGGTCTCTGTTGGTTAAGATAAACCATAGCAGACGGGACAAAGGATGATCTGTAATGCTTAGTGCTACATTTAGGGAGGCAAAACCTCCGCCCTAATGGAAGCATCTAAAACTCAACATGGAGGAGACAATGTTAAAAGAAAGAAAGGGGCAAAAGCAGCACTAATGTACAGAAAGTCATCCAGCGATTATCCACCTGTAGCTTTTCAGGCCTTGGAGGGAATGAAGCATTTTCCAACAGTAATTTGCTCTACTACCCTCAAACACACCGTGACCACGATGTTATGACTGTATAGGCTGTTCCAGCTGAGCAGCAGAGCGTGTGGGTGTGCCAGTGTTCTTGCCACCCTGTTGCTTTTGTTCATCATAACTGTGTGATAAGCATCATGCAGAGCAGAAATAAACTGAGCTGATGTGTTCATAGCAGAGACCTGCGTCCATTTTGTGGCAGTATTCACAGATGTACACCATTATTCTGTTCACACACCTGGATGAATAATCTGGGCCTCCATTTTTCCAAATCTTCATTAAACAGACCTCAGAGAGATGAAAATACTAAACAGCCCACGCCCTCCAGAGATTTCAGACAAATTAATAACATCTGTTTGTTAAAGGTTGAATTGTGTAATGAGGTTTATGCCGTTGAGACATGGCTTGTCTCTCGTAATGGACACTGCAGGTTGTGATGGATTGTTTGTTGGTGCCAGGAGCACCACAGGGTGAGGCATGTTAGGAATGTTCAGGGTCAGCTGAGATCTTTGTGAAAACAGGTTGAAGGAAACTTCTGCCAAACTACTTAATGTTTATGAGATAAGATCTGATATCAACACCTGCGACTGCTGATCTAACTCATATCTAAATCTCAGAAAAATCTCTTTACGGTAACAGGAGTAAATCCACGCCTTTATGTTTCATGCCAAAACATTTTTATGACTTCAGGCATTTGTTTTTGGTACGTTTGAGAAAAGAGATGAAAGCCAGCACCCTGGAGGGAGACTTCACCAACTCCCTGCGTTGTTTATGTGTTCACATCCTTTCTGGCACATTGGCACAGGTAGCAAGATCGTGTTTGGCTATTTTGAGGCAGCACAGTGGCGTCTGCGTCTCTCAAGTGTACAGGTCTCTTGCTGATTTTGACAGACTTACTGGACCCCCTGTGGTGCCATTGTTTGTTTGATCTACAAAGGACCTGAAAAAGCCCTTTTCGTGTCTCGGTTCCTGGGAATTGAACTTCTTTACTTGGAACAAATATGTTGGCTCGAAGTCACGCCTTCAATATTTGCTGTAGAACCAGATGCAGCATCCATGAAACTACACCTCCCATCCAGTGTGACCAAACCTGTACAGTACCTGCATGCAGTGTACTGTATACCTGTTTTGCTAGACTGTAAATTATGAGCGAGCATACTTTCCATGGGTGGGATTGGGTTTCCATATCATTCCAGCTTCCCAGGCACAGCTTTAAACCTGAGAGCTGATTTGCCAAGAGCTGGGTGTGTTATGTTTTGAAATCATGGTGTGTTGGCTATTACATATGGTTACTCAGAGGGAGTGCAGCCCTACTGAAAAATATTTCCATTTGCCTACAGGTGTTCCACATGTGGGAATACAGGTCTGTTAGGCTTGGATGAGTAGTTCAGACACAATGGCGTACGTGTTTTTATTGTTCTGCATTAATTAAGATTGAAAAAGCAAAAAGATAAGGAGTGGCCAGTGCTATAAATATCTATTATTATGATCAGAAGCACATGACAGTCAGGGTCATGGCCAGGGTTTTAGAAATACCGAGTTTATGACAACACAGAACTTTTTTTACTTGTGTATCTAATTAAACTAGCCAGGGATTTTGTGAATATTTATACTACTCATTCCAGGAAACTGTAAGGAAAGTCAGAATTATAAGGAAAATACAGACCTGTTTTATTCCCCTATGAATTTCTAAATGCTCTGTGGTGCCAGAAATTATTTTTTGATGCAAAAATTAGGCAAATTTAAAGCAAATAAGTCTAAAAAATACTGCAATTCAACACCAGAGAAGTGGACTCCAGTTCTGTGACTTAGACTCGAGTCACACATTCGATGATTTTAGACTCGCCTTAAGGAACAAAAAAGACTTGTACCTCAACTTGGACTTAAGCACCAAACACTCGTGACTTCACTTGGACTTTAGCCTTTTGACTTGAAAATACTTAATACCTTCCCCCAAGTCCAAAAAAAAAAAAAAAATATGTGATGGTTAACTAAAAACAAATTGCAGTATGCAAACCAAAAAAGCCAAAATAACTTTCAGCTTTGTCCGATATTTAAGTTGCACAAAGGACAGTAAATCAACGCTAATATCAATGTAGTTAGCGAGCTAATGCTCAGCTAACAATTTTTTTGACAAATAAATGTAAATTTTAAAAAGCATTAATGATTTTTGTAAATATGATGACTTGTTTAGGACTCGAAACTTAAAGGTAAAGACTTAGGACTTGACTCAGGACTTCTGTGTCTTGACTTGAGCTTTACTTATAACTTGTAAAACAATGACTTGGTCTAGGCTGCTGGAATCCACACATTCACACAAAACATACTGCCGACGTGACCTCAGTGTTGTCAGTGCAGCTCTGATGATAATAACTAAGGGATGGAAAGATGACTCTTCCCAGTGTGGTCAACTTTGCCAAATCAGAGTAAATGACTACACTTACAGTGTCACTGTTATTTTCGGGAAGGCAGCACTACTGTATCACCACCCACTGACTCTGTGTCACCCTATAGTGCACTCACTGACCTTTAACATTTGTTCCCACTCAACCAAAACATTAGCTTTTTCAGGCTTTTCCTGTTTATGGTCACTGGTCATCTGATTAGATCTTTGACCTTTAAATGGCCCCACTCATACTAAAAACAATGGAAACATTATGATATTTATTTATTTAAGGGGATATTTCACTCAGTATTTATTTGTTCCTTTTGGGCATTAACAATAAAAAACTTGCTTTTTCAACAGACAGCAGATTTAAATTAGGATATATTATATATATATTTATAGTTAAAGTGAACATTGGACAATCTACGTAAGTATTCTCTCCATTAAAGTGAAATTAAAGACATTTAATCACTTTTTATGGACAAAAACAATGTATCACACTCTAGAAATAAAACATTTTACATATGATATAAACATTACATTATTTAAATGATGACAAAATTTGGTAAAATACGGTAAAAGGAACAGCTGACCTGAATTCAAACTCATGAAAAACAAGTATGTCCTACGCATTTTAAACTGGACACACTTCTCATTCTGCTGGCTCTGAAAACTGCAGCACACCTGGGAACTCAATTCAACAGAGTGCTACAGGTTCATTTACATTAAGTGCGACTCATTTTAAAGATATTGTAACTAAAAATCTGTGTCACTGTACATTTAATGTCACATGAGAACAGAGTGTGAACGCAGGATTCTGACTCACGTTGTCCTCTCAGACGTGGATGTATATAAACACGCAGGCCTGTCATAACCGTCTGATCTGTGGATCAGTGTGTCTGAACGCAGCCCACTGTGTGATGTAAACACATATTTATGACTTAAATCATGGCTTAGTACCTGGGACACATGATGACATACTGGAGTAAGATTTGTGTGTGTGTGGGTGTGTGTGTGTGTGTGTGTATGTGGGATCACCTCATTCCAAATGATAAGTCAACCATTAAAAAATAACGCCCACTCTGATAAGTTAACCACATTCTTTGTTTGTGATCTATTCCAGGTAAGAGATGCCTTGAAACATTTACTTATTAAGTACCCACTTTGCCTTTTGAGGAAATGTTCATCAGTGTGTGATGAACATGGGAGAGCATGTACATTCTTTGTGTGTGTGCTCATGAGAGTTGGTTCTTGCTCCTGTTTCAAATTCACTTAGTGTCATCCCTTGTATGCCACCGCGAGCTGTTGTTTGCTCCTCAACAACCATTAATGCCATTAAAGTCTTTATCCAATTTGAGGTCTGTGCCGGTTTGGATCAGCTGCTGCTGGAATCAGCTAAACACCAGCAGGGAAACTCTTGTTCTGCTGCTTGTGCTTTGTCAGCGTGTTGCTTTTGTGTGACCTTGGTCAACTCTGGAAATATGTTGTTTATCATGTGTAAGATTAATGCTGTGTAAATACTTGAAATAAGTAAATAAAACACCCTCATCACTGATTCATTTAGCATGCTTAACCTGTTTCCTACATTTCCCTTATAGCTTGTTTCCATTCATTTTCCTATGCTGTAAAAACCTAAAGCCAGATGATGTCATATGCTGTACAGGTGGACTTATCTTTATAGGCCACAGTGAGCACATCTGCATTTATGCTGTGTTAAACTGCATTGTCCTTTTTGTGGTTGTGTAGTCACAAGTAGAAGACTGATCTGAAAAGTCTGTGCTGCACCAACCACACCACCATAAGGCAACATATTAACACAAAAGCATGATACCCACTGTGGTAGATGACATATCTTAAGCAAAGTCCAAGTCAGTGTAAATACATTTTAAAGCAACAGTTCACCTTAAAATTGATAATGTATATTTTTCTTGAAAGAGCCATTGCTGTTGAGTTTTGCTAATGTATTTTTTGGCCCTTTGAGCACCACAAGCCTAGTGCCATCTAGCTCCATTACATTCAAGAGAAGGCAGATATCTCTACAGCTGATATCTCCAACACTCTGCAACTCACACCAAAACAGTCTAGACTGATAAACAGCACTACAGGTAAGAGGAAAAATATGGCTTTTTGATTTTGGGGGGGAACAGTCCCTGCTTGGAAATGAATAAAAGTCATGCAAGTCTCTTTTAGAAGATGATCGATGATCTGGCACCAGAGTATATAACTGAGCTTCTCACACCGTACCATCCAAACAGGCCCCTCAGGTCTGCTAGTGGGTCTTCTAACTGTTCCAGAGTCCAGGTTAAAGACAAAGGGTGATGGAGCCTTTTCAGTTGTTGCTCCCACTGAGCATCAGATCAGCTGAGTCTTGCAAAATGGCTCTTTCTGACAGTTGACAGACTTTTTATGTATATGGGTTGGTATGTATGTATTTGCAGCCATGTATTTATGTCTGCATGCTTACAGGTATATATGTGTTTAAGTGTATATCTTGGTGTAGTGCATGTGTATGTTTTATTAGTATCACTGTCGTTTTGTATTTTCTGCACCTTGAAAAGCACTTTGTGCTTTCAGCTCGAAATGTGCTCCACAAATTAAGTCATTCTTCTTCTTCTCCTCATTATAATTATTATTATTATTATTATTATAAGTATTAATTAATTAAGTATTCTTTAGAAAGTGGTGGGCAGTAATATTAAGTATAATATTTGTGATTTGTCCAAAAAATGAAACCTATAAAAAATAAAAATAATGATACTTACTACTTAACTTCTTCTCCGTCTTCTTCTTCTCATTATTATCATTATTATTATTATTATTATTATTATTACAAAGTATTCTTTAGGGAATGGTGGGCAGTAATATAAAGTACAATATTTGTGATTTGTTAAAAAAAAGGGAAATTATAAAAAAAAATAATGATAATAATAATAATATAATAATAATATCAATAATTATTATTATTATAATTCTACTTCTTCTTCTCCTCATTATTATTATGATTATTATTATTATCAAATATTCTTTAGGGAATGGTGGGCAATAATATAAAGTACAATTTTTGTGATTTATTAAAAAAAGGGAAACTATAACAAAAAATAATGATGATAATAATAATAACAATTATTATTATTAGTTGAAGTAGTAGTATTACTATAACTATTATTATTAGGTATTCTTTACGAAATAGTGGGCAGTAATAAAGTACAATGTTTGTGATTTGTCCAAAAAAGGGAAATTATTATTAGCCTATCATTAGGCTATATTTAAAATCATATAAATTCTATTAAGAAATTAAGCAAATCAGAAACAGATTGTCTCTATATAAAACACCTTTAATAAATACCTTAAGTCACTAAGTGTAATATGTTTTTTCCCATTGCTTTGTAAGCTAACAGGAGACACTTAAACAGGTTAATTCACGGGTTAAACCTTATGTATTAATAATTCATTGGTAAACCGAGCGGTGGAGCTGACCGTCCTCAGCCCAACTATGGTCACCTGTAAGGTTTCAGACTCCCTGAACATCTCACCCAGGTGAATATCACCGTCATCATGTCATCATCATCATGTAGGCTATTGATCCAGAAGCAGCAGGTATCTCCATCCGCCCTCCCCTCTCACACACTCCTGTTTCCCCGGTTCCCTATTTGGCTGTTTCTGTCGCTTTGTGGGCGGGTTGCTTTTAGCCTTCCACTCCCACAGTGACGTGATGAGAAAAGTTATTACAATGTGCTGAGAGGGGAGGGAACACACACATGAACACACACCGGTCTGCACACCGGGCAGGAGACTGATAACAGCAACAGCTACCGCGGACGGACACACACCGGGAACTGCTTCTGTATAGCGGAGGGAGCTTCAAATAGTTTATTTATTTATTTATTTATCTGTTTGTGTGAGGAGTATTTATTTCTATCCAAGATGAACGGAGTGTCGAGGAGTCTGTGCACGTTTGAGGACATCAGGAGTCAAGAATATGGGGTGAGTTACTCGATATTATTCATATATGTGTTGCTTTTGTCTATTTAATGGTGAAGTTAATGATAAAGTAGGTCTTCATGTATGTCTGTTTACTTCCGGTGTGAGTGCATTATGTTAAAATAATTCAATTTTCAATCAAGAAACCCAAATTTAAAGACTTAAATTGTTATTTTTTCCACTTTTTTTAATCTATTGGTCCTTTTTAAGTTAAACTATTTTCCGTTTCCTCTCTTCTTATCTTTTTTTCTTGCTTTACATGATCACTTCTGTGGACTGTATTGGAGTCATTGTGTGATTGTGTCATGGCTCTGTCACACATCTTAAGGCTTCATCTCCTCTAAGTGGTGTTTTTACTTTTAAGTCTGTGGCCTTATTGTAATTAAAGTATTAGCCCCTTCCCTCCTGAGTCCACACATACACACACACACACACATAAAGGCAGCAGCTCAGAATTAGTCCAAATAACATCTGTGCCTGTCACAGGTGCCTTCTGCCTGCATCATTTAAGGGCTTACAGTTGCACTTGTGACAGACAGTGAAGCCAGCTAAGGAGACAAACCTCTAAATGCTTTGCGTGTACAATATGTCCACCACCTGCGCTTGTAAAGTTTTCTTAAACAGGATTAAACATCACACTTGCTTGATGTAAAGCTCAGTTTGTTTGGTGGATGCTTGTGCAGTAGATGAGTGATCAGCACTGCAGCTGCCTGCGTCACTTAACACTCAATGGGCTTCATTCTCTGGTGGCAGCAGAGGTTTAATCATTTACCTGAGAGAGGAAAACTGTTAACCTCCACTGTGGTTTATGAGGTTGCGGGGCAACATGACACTTTCACCTTATCAGCAGCCTCCTGCTGCGACGGATCACTGAGCTCATATCAGATGGTGTTCTCTAAAGAGGCAATTACAGTGAACAGTCTCAGCTATAATGATGTTAAATTAAATGTAACCAAGCCTGATTAGAGCAGGAATTGACAGCTAGATTTTACATTGGTGTCAATTGTGATGACTTCAAGGGGAGCTACGCCCATTTTTAAAAGTCATACATTTTTCATATGGGTCTAAGACAGTCCAGACATTTTAGTAAACATGAATAACTTAACTCAAATCCAAAAACTAGAGTGCTAAAACTCAAATTTGTGATGTTATAGCTAAGGTTAGGAGTATAGTAGTTTTAAGGTGTACTGTGGTATGAATAGTGACAGTCATCATACAGTGTACATTGGCTTATCTACAGTGTTGGAGGGGAAAAATGCAGACAGATGCAGTGAGACTTTTATTACATATTTATTTAAAAAAAAATGGTTTCAAATTTCAATTATAGCATTAAAGCATTCATTCAACCAAAAAACACCTGTTTTTACTCATTTAAGGGTCATTGTAACTGATATTAATAACAATTATGTACCTAGGACAAATACTGTGTACTTTAAAAGCGGGATATTTTCTCAGATGATTATCGTACCGTGAAAATCTCACACTGTTGCAGCCCTAGTCATAGGGTGTTAAGACTGGAGCTGCTGACACTGAGAACACCCAGGTGAGTGTTCTGAGTATATGAGTACATTTTCTGTTTCAGATTTGAGAATACTACAACACGAGTTTGAGAGTTACTTCTCTGGTTTTTTGCTTTGGCACATATATAACATATACAATAACATATTGGAGTTCTTATTGAGGCGGCGTTCCTCTTTAAATGTCACTTACCGTTATGTAACTGTACAAAGAAGGTCAAAGTGTACAAAGGTCAGCTCCACTCACACACCTAATAAACTGATTATTTGTGTTGAGGAATGTCTCGTTAAGCAATATGCGAAACTCCACATTTGTTCAGCGTCTGTTTTATCTGTCATACATAACATTTTAACGTGCCACTGATAGCACATTTACATCAGCGTCATACAGAAGGCAAATCCATCCTTATCAAAGTCAAATAGTCACCCACCAGTTATTTACATACCTGATATGGTTGTTCAGGTCAGACTAAATAAAGCAGCAGAGGTATTTCACCTCAATATGCAACATTTCATAATGACTTATTTACAGAAAATTACTGTTTATCAGGTGTATAAGGATACATGAGGAGGAGGAATGTGCCTGATGTAGCAGAGAAAGGTCTTCACTGGGTGCTTTGGTGATAAGTTTCCTGGAACTGAGGTGATCTGAAGTAAAACAGGAGCAACAGCCGGGCCTGGATTTGAAACAAAATGTTCATAATAACGACCAAAACTCCAGCTTTTATTTGAAATTCATTTGAAACTCATGGCACAATTTCTCCTCCCTTAAAAACCCAGAGATTTATTTTTTGCTGTGAGGGCACTTTTCAAATAATGCCCCAACTATCCCTCCAGACATTTAGTTTCCCCATGTCATGTGACTTAACACATTCCTTCTGTCCTCCCTCATCCTCAGACATCATCTCACTCAGGAGTATGTGTGACGTTCCTGGCTGGGAATGAGCCAAACATGACATATGGAGGCATCAATGTAGAGGAAAGGCTTGAATATGCCAGATCGCACCTGGTTCACGAACCACACAGAGCAGGAAAAAAAGCCCAAAGGGATCATTATTGAGTGAAAGATGATTGTAGCAATTATAGTGTGAGTCTGTCTTGATGGCAGCTCGCACTTCATGACTCAGATCCTGGACTAGCGGTTTACTGTCAGCATTCAAGTTCTCACACGATGGTTAAACACACGTAAACAGCTTCTCTTCACGCCTCAGCTTGATCCTACCCTTTTAAGTTTGCTTAACCTTTAACTTAACCCTTTAAGTTGTAATGACTGCCGACTGACTGAAAGGCCACGCCTGACAGGCAGACAGGCAACAACACCTTTCTCTACCCTGAGAGCTACAGCTCCATATTGAAGGATCTAATCCCAAGACAGGATGTTCTTAAAACTAGGGCTGCAACTAACATGTATCTCTATTATTTATTAATCTGCTAATTGTTTTATTGAATAACTGATACATCATTTAGTCTTGCTTGTTTTGTTTTATCAACAGTCCACACTCCAACAGTACTTCATTAAGTATGATAGAGGGCTCCAGGGACCCCCAGGGGTCCTTGACGGAGTTTCAGGAGTCTCCAGAAAAATCAGGAATAGTTTATTTTAACTATTTAATTCACTACAGCAGTGAGAGAAAACTAAATGTGAGATAAGAGTGACTATCCTGGTCATAGGTTTCACTTCCTTTACGGTTATCTCCTGTATCCTGTATCTCCTGTAGTTGAAAACTATAGAATAGAAGAATAGAACTATAGAATTCTAGTGTTTTGGGTTTTTTTTGGGTTTTTTTAAGATATTTTTTGGGGCTTTTTAGGCTTTAATGTATAGGACAGACAAGCGTGAAGGGGGAGGACAGAGAGGGAGTGACATGCAGCAAAGGGCCACAGGCTGGAGTCAAACCCGGGCCGCTGCGGCAATAGCCTTGTATATGGGGTGCCTGCTCTACCACTAAGCCACCAGCGCCCCTAGAATTCTAGTGTTATCATATCTAACCACAAAAATCTTTTTCATAGGAGATCCCTTAGCAAATCCTATCAAATGAGAGTCTGTAACCCTGTGTGTATCACTTTAGGGGTCCTTGACACAAAAAAAGGTTGAGACCTACTGATATATAACATAGAAAAGCAGGAAATCCTCACATTTAAAGGCCCAAACACACCAAACAAAATCAAAGAAGTAGTGGCGACGAAGGCAGGCTGTTGTGTCACCTCAAGTTGCCTGTGTCTAGCTAAAAAGTTGCACTTGAATACACCGCAAAGACTAAAGCCAACAGCAAACTAGCACATACGTTCGGCACCATTCAAAAAGGGAAACCGGAAGACCAATGGGACGAATTCAAGACGCCAGTTAGCGTATGTACAACACAAAGTGATGTTGAAAGAAGAAATTATATTTACCATGCGTTTGCGAACAGTAACACAAACAATTACAAACCATTTCTGCTCAAGAGCTCGATGGCAAAAAAAAAAGTTTGTTTCGATCTCATGCCCTCTTGACTTTAGCCGTTTACTTTCCTGACTTCTGTTTCTCTTCTCATGCACTGAGCTGAACGGCCAATCAGAATGATTTCATTCACCGACAGGTTCTACCGTCTCTGACACAGATTCAACATACTAAATTGGACAACAAAAAGCTGACAACTAGCGCCTAAAACTTGGGTGACAGATTGCCACCGATGGCCCGACATTGACCGATGTTCGACCATGGGCTTGGTATGCGAGGGCTCTACGAGGCTGGAACTTGCAAAAGTTTGGCATTGTTGCTTGAAAAATGACTAAAATAAGTAATAGATTATCAAAATAGTTCAGTGGCCAAAATGTGTCTGCACAATCGAGTATCAGTAACTGTTATGTAACAAAAGTTGGCATTGAATGCTTAAACTCTCAGTTTTGTTTGCTTATTCTTTGATCAAATATTCTTGATCCTAGTCATAACTTTGAAGTTTCCTTTCATCCAAGTTTCAGTTCAGCTAAAAAAAAGCTGTTGTGGAAGGATATATTTGTATATCCAAATCCTTGTTTAAGTAAGGTAATGGAACTCAGGTATCGTATGGGCACTGGTTTCGAAACATTCAATACCTGCAGCTGTAGCGCTAAACTCAGTCGGCTCCCACCTGTTGCTTCACAGGCCCGGGTTTATAATGCAGAAGGTGCATCTGTGCAGCAGGTGTGGGAAAGCAGTGCATTAGAAGGACAGATTGATTTAATGTAGGATGAAGTACGCACACTAGTGGAATTTTTATGTGGAATGCAGGTAGAACACCTGGAGGCACAATATGTTCTACTGTTTACTGGCCTCAGAAATCTGAACATCACGTACTTTTACAAAGTGGCACAGAGCTCTAAAGGAGATTTAGTTTCTTTGCCCAAAACTCAGCAGGTCTGTCTGTTTGTCAGCAACATTTCCAGTCACTTCTCCGCTAATTTAACCCGCATGATTCACAGGCCTCCTCATGCCAAAGTCCAAAACAAAAGCGTCTTCATACCCTTTAAGCCTTTCGGCCTGGCTGTACCCCGTGATCTTTTGTGCTCATTGTCGGTGGACACTGTGTTTGTGTGTGTGTGTGTGTGTGTGCGCTTAGTTTCAGGTTTCTGCCCTGTTATAAAGGTAGCGTGTACTTTGAGTTATTGTGTGTATCTCTGTGTGTATTTTCCTGCATGTGTGTGTGTGCCTGCAAACGTCACAGTTTGCGAGCACTTCCAACTGGTCCCTTTGTCCGTGTGTTCCCGGGAAGTCTAGTATTACAGGTTGTCTTTGAAGGTGGTACGGGCGACATTTTTGTGTGTGTGGATATAAAAGAGAAAAATAGGCAGAGGGTAGCGTGTAAACAGTCCATGGCAGAGCGAGGATTAGCAGAGTCTTTGTTTGGTTGTCTGTGAAGAGCCAGAGAAGTTGTATAATGATGGATTCCTTCCTAACAACCCTCTCACTGTTCTCCCTTCTCTCTCCCCTCCTCTCTTTTCCCTCTCGTAATCGCTGTGCTTTCAGGTGTCTGTAATCTGAGAGGAAATCATGTTGAACAAGAGGGGAATTTCTGGCTTTCGTTTCCCTGAGTTTTGTTTGTCGTAGTAGGACCCCCCACCCCCAGCCCAACTATTAGGCCACTTCCTCTGCCATTTTTTAATTGTTCTTGTTGAGGATTTTCCCATCTGTCCCTCTCTGCTCTCTCTTCCACCACTGTACTTCCTGTGTAGATAACCAGCAAGTCAGAAAGGCCTTCTGTAGTCTGCGAAACACACGGGCCTTTGTTTTACAACCTCTCACCGCTCTTTATCACAACATTACACAACACAGTCCAGTTCATTTCCCCTGTCTGGCTTACATCAAGGCCTGGGCATTATGCATATCAGACGTAGTGTCTATACAGAGGGAGTCACTTTGCCACTCTTTCAGTAAACTGGAGAAAAGGTTGAGTTTAGGATAGGGCCGTGACTAATGACTGTTTTCATGACTGATTTATTGTTTGGTCCGTGAAATGTCAGAAAAAGAAAGATAAAGAAAAAACAGTCTATCATTGTTTCTTAAAGACCAACGTGATGTCATCAATTTGGCTGCAACGAATGATTTCTTTCTAGATCAACTGATTATTTGTTTGGTTTAAAGAAAATGGTGAAAAAACAGAATATATTGGGATATGTGGGAGGAAGCTGGAGTACCCGGAGAAAACCCATGCTGAGATGGGGAGAACATGCACATGCATCCAGGGTCCGAACCAGGAAGCTGTGAGGCGTTATTGCTAACCATGACACATGATTATAGATGTTCAAATTTCCATTTTTCTCGCAGCACTTTAAAGGCACACGAAGCACATTTGTGGGTTACTGTTTGTAAAAACGCTCACCACTGAAACTGAAGTTAAAAGCTGACCCCAGATTCACTCTCGTTTGGCATTTTGCCTCGCTATATTTGCTTTTTTCTGCGCTGTCTCTTGGATGCCTGCTGGCTACAGTCTGGCACCTATAGTCGCTGCCTTTTATGAAGTCCCGCCCTCACCTAAGCGCTTTGAGGGCAACACGTCCATAAACATCCCAAACACTTGAAATAAGGAGAAAATCAGAAAATACAGGCAGAGGGCAGAGTCTGTGCAGAAAAATACACCACCATAAACTTCTAGTGGGTCATAAGTGACGACATGCCTAGTGTATCTTTAAGTACTTTTTGTCCATGTTGCCTTTAAAGTGGAGCGTTTTATTTAAGCTTAAAAAACTCAACAGCTGGGCAAACTCCATCCGCTGACAAAGTCCAGCCATGTTATTTAAAGCTCAGTAAAGACTTGATTTGTCAGCGTCTGTGGCAGTCAAAACAGGAAATGCAAGTAGCAGGGCCTTTTGTGCTGCACGTATCAAAAGAAAACAAAGAAAAGTATTGCAGTAGGAAAGGGTTAAATAGGGACAGATGATATTACACAAACACATGACACTATTATCTTAATTATTTATCACCCAATTTGGCTGGTATAATATATCGCCAATAAATCTGATGTGTGTGCGCGCGCCCTTCTGTGTAATTGCTTGCATGTGTGCGTTTGTTTTTGTTTATAGCGTTTAACCCCAGGGGAAGATTGCAGCCATTTCTTCTCTGCCTGTTCCGTGTCTCAGAGTTGACAATGAATTTAGACAGCAGGAGGACACAGTGAATGCATAAGGGAATATAAACAGAACAAGTTGTGTTGGGCTGGAATGAGTTATATAATGTCTGCGACCTCCTCCCTCATATCCGCATAGTTGCACTTGCACACACACACACTAGCTGGGTATCACTTTTAAGGGGGTTCCCTGTGCTGGAAGGACACACACACCCTCCGACATCCCGGCCGAAACTTTTCCTGTTAAAGCAACTTCTCTTCTGTGAGTGAAAGAAATAACCAGGAAGGTCTGCGAGGCGTTCTGTGCATTGTTTCGTCTCTGCCTTGCTCTCCCCTCTGATACTGTTAGCGTGCCAGACAGTTTATGGCTACTGTGAGGATTTTGTTGCCATGGAAATGTTCTGTCTTGCTTGACATGACATTTTCTGCCCACTTTCCCAGAAATCCAGCCAGCGCTTCCAATTGGCTGCGAGCGCCTGGAGAGTTTCCGCCTAAAGTCCCTCTGACGTCCACAGCACGCAATTTAATTCAAACAATCTGTCTCTGTGCAGCTGTGAAAAACTTTTGCTTTCTGTCTGACGCTCGTAGCCCCCTCTCTCTGTCTTACTGGTTACTCTCTCCCTCCTTCTCTGGTACTTTCAGTGAGTATGACTCACTTTCTCCTCCCCCCCCCTCCTCTTCAAAATAGTCCTCAATCATTTTATCCATCACATAACGGTCTCTTTGTGGATTCACTTCATCGTCTCCTGTCTTGGTTTTCAGGACGGGTGCAGGAGGCTGAGGCTCACACTGCAAGACCAGCGCCAGGCAGCTCGGAGCTCGGAGCAGCACAGGGACAAGGTAAGAACTTCCTGCACCTGATAGGTTGTAATGTGGACTGTAACATCAGTGCTAAGAACAGACGAAGTCCCGGGACCCTAACTGTGGGAGATCGAGGAATACAGCATGGAAAATTTGATACTTGAGGGTTTAAGATATCAAACTGATGCATTTAATTTTTAAAGGATGCACTGGGTCGGATTTGTACTGTAAACCATGAGGGGGAATAGTCTGCGATTTCTTTGGATGAGAAAAAAAACAAACAAAGGTGAAGGTGCGATCATTCGGACCATATTTGGATCTGAAAGTTCAGGCTGTAAATCTTCTCAATGATCCAGGAATTAGCTCAGAGCTGCCGTACATTCATACATGCATTCCTACACACAAACTGTACAGAGACACCGACTGCTTGTAAACATGCCACAGCTGCCTTCAGCTTTTCATTAGCGCGGTTCCCACACGAGGCCACTCAATAGACAACCATTGTTCTCCCAAAAAACTGGTGCCAAAGTTAGATTAAAAAAACTGGACCACCAGAGCGGCCGAGTTACATAACCACCTTCTTCTGAGACTCTCTGCTTATGGTTTTGACCAAGTCTGAATACTACTTCCAGAGAAGCACCAGATGTTTATGGGTTAGTCTCCATAGTGATTACGGAAAAATGTTTCTACCTACTGATTATAGAGACTCACAGTCACTCGCACATACACAGGAGGAACAATTCGCTCTGGGGTTAAGACATATATTCTTCTTGATGTGTTCACAGTTGAATTGCATCATTCCACAGATGTTTCATAATGATTATTAAACGGAAGTACTCCAGGCTGTCCTTCCAATTGTTTTGCAATATTCTGACGAGAAACATGTTTCAACTCCTCTCCTGGGGTTAGCAAAGCACCGTGACCTCACTCATGTTTGCATATGTGTGGAAATGTATCACACCCATCCACCCATCCTCACGCAACATGCAACACTGTGCATGCTACATCGTTAAGTAACTCCTCTGCTCTCTCATCTGCAGCCAATCGGACGTGCGTTTGCGCTGGTGCAGCCACCCAGTGACAGGACATCTCTGAATCCCGAACCAGTCAAATCTACAGAGGAGCAGGTGGAGGTTATAAAGGTGGGTGTGGCACACTGGCTGTTGTTTTGGAAGAAATAAATGCGTGTTTGTCTCGCGGTCACGCTGGTGTTTGACATCCGTGTGCGTCTCTCCTCCCTGTTGCAGGTTTATTTAGAGGCCCGCAGACAAGAGCAGCAGAAACACCAGCAGAGCCTGAAGATGCTGTCAGATGAAGTGTCACAGATACAGGAGGTCAGTCTCTGCACGGTATCTACTGTATTGAACACTGCAGCCGCTCAACCCTGTCTCCTGGGTTACATAACAATTTGCATGTTGGCATCATGCAAATTCCTCCTGGCTTCCAGACTTGTTTTTTCTCTGCTAATGATACGATCTTGTGTTTATCAGCCGCAAACATGCAGATGTTAAAACGCTGACAAATATAAGATATTATCTCAGCAACTCACAATATATCTGTGTATCACACAGGTGAGGTATTGCCTGAAGACGCTGAGGGAGCAGATGGCAGCCAAAAACAAGGTAGGTCTATTTTGAGCTGCTTTGTTGTGCCCTCGCCATTGTTGACCTTACATCCTGCATGCTTAACAGCATTTCCTCCTCCTCTCGCATCTCAATTTTTCACTCTTTCCTTGCTGACTTCCTCCTTTTCTCTCCAGACGCACACAAACGGGTGGAAAGTTGGTCTTCCCTTCCGAAAGAGCACCTCACCTGCCCCCGGCGGAGGAGCTAAAGCTGACGGACAGGTGAGCATATACTGCGTGTGTGTGAGCATATCAAATGTTGTGTGTGTATCTTAGCCGCAGTCCAATGTCCAATGTGTTTTCCTTTGGACAATGTGTGCCAGTGTGTTTCGTGTGGTGCGTGTAAAGCGATAACCTCCCAGAGGCACACAGAAGAGGTGGAACGAGATATAAGGTTAAACAGAGATGTGATATAGTGAAAAAAAGAAAGACAGCGACAGAGTAAATACGCTTATAGCACCCCGGGGTGTATGAAAACGTGCGTGAGAACACACTGTTCCTCTCCCTCCATGTGTTATTGTGTTCAGGCCCTTCTCATTGTTCCCAGCATTCCACAGATACTTCTCCTTTAATAGTTTTGCTGCTTTCTTTGAGCCACGCACTTGTAGCAACCATACAGTCTGCATGCCAGTATTGTTTAGTACAAATACAAACAGAGGTGACGCGGCTGTGTTTGGTTGAATGGCTTTGGCACCAATTATAGCATTTATCTGTGAGTCACGCCACGGCTTACTCGCACAAGTGTTGCAGAAATCATGAGGGAGCTGGTCGTGATCCAACCGCTCTAGTGACGCACGCAGACACGCCTTTTTTCTTTATGACAGCCAAACCCAAAGCTCGAATGAAATGAAAACAAGATTTTACATTAGGTCATCATGAAAGCATCTATCTGCTTCTCTGTCCAGCTTAAAAGTGTTGTGTGTAAGCCAGTCCTGCGCATGATACAATTAATTCTAAAATTAAAGAGTCCCTTTAATGTCCAAGCGAAAACAGATGTCTTTAAGATGATCTAAATTAATTACAAATCTAAAATACAAAATAGTTTTTTTGCATAAGCACTCACCCCCTCTGACTTATGTCTTAAATTATGTCAAAGTAAAAGTCCTCTGTTTCGCTCATGTTTTCATCAAAGGAGACAAATGCACAAGTATTAAGGGGGGAAATTTATGCCTATTATTATGGGTGAATGAGTTCAAGCACAAATTCTCAACTGTATTAAGCTCTGGACTCGGCCTCTCTGGGACATTACAGTATCTATCTGCTAATCTAACCCTTCATTCTTTACTCTTTTAGGAAGCAGAAGAAGAAGCGGAGAGAGCCAAGCTGAGGGAGGTCAGCAAGCGCTTATATGCACAGCTACAGGAAGCAGAAAAGAAACACCAGGAGGAAAAAGAGAGGCTGCAGGTAACACACACAGCCTAAATTTATGTTATTTATGCTGAAGCCACATTTTAAACAACAGAAATAAACCGTCACTGTCTCTTCTAGGTTGAAAGCAGCAAGCTGAAGGAGCGTCTGAGCGATGAGGAGGAGAAGCTGAGGATCACAGAAGAAGCCAGCGAGAAGAAAGACAGGCGCATAGACGAGCTCCAGAGGCTGCTGGGAGGGATGGAGCAGGAGAGTGCCACCCTGAGGGACGCGATCCGCAGCCGCGAGGATGAACTCCGCGAGCTGCGCAAGCTCAGAGAAGACGGCCAGGCAGGGGAGCAGAGGTCAGCTAACACAAACATACATGATAACAATGAACACAATGAATGATTCTTTATCAGTCAGTGACAGTCAAATCTCAAGCGGCGTGTTGTTAACTCTCTGTGTGTATTTTTAGGGCTGAACAGTTGGAGAAGGAGGTGGCTATTCTCAAGGAAAAGATCCACCATCTGGATGACATGCTGAAAAGCCAGCAGAGGAAAGTCAGACACATGATTGAACAGGTGAGGCGCACATGTGTGAGACTCTCGAAAGCAAACACGCTGTCTCCGAGTTCATATTTGTGCAGGATTTACTGACTGTTTGTGTGTGTTTTCTTGTCTTTAGCTCCAGAACTCCCGCATGGTGATCCAAGAGAGGGACCGCGTGATCAAAGAGCTGGAGGAGAAAGTGGCTTTCTTGGAGGCTGAGGTGAGGACTGCTTATTGGTTTCTCAGATAAAACTTGTTTTATGGCTTTTCAGGGGAATTTAGAAGGAAGAGTCAGGGTTAAAGCTGTATTGGGTAACTTTTGCTGAAACTGTCACTGTATCCTGACGGTAATACACGAGACAGATAAGCTGTGAAACAATCATGTCCCTCCGCCTTCTCATAGCGCTTCTAATGGCAGTATGAAAGAGGAGGAAATGCAACTGCTGTCTGTTTGATGACCATCTTAACATTTTTGCTATTATGTGCACTGACCTCTGACTTCCTGTGTTTGCAGAACCGAGAGATGCATGACCAGATGGACTACTTCCTGGGAGGACAAAGGTCAAATTCTTACCTCTCATCAGAGCGCAACCCCCAGATCGTGTATAGGTAACTAATTTTGCCTTTCCTCTTCATATTATTTTTCACTTTAAGATAGATTTGCAAGTCCTACAACAGGGATACTCAACTTGCTTTGCATGGGGCCACATTTGCAAATTGACAGGAGGCCAGGGACCAGTTAATAAACAGACCTAGCTCAGACCTTCGTCGGGGGGTCTGAAGGATCCTCCCTTGGCCCTTTTTTTGCTAAACAAGTTCTATTTGCACCTTAAAACTTCAAATAAAAGCCTAGTCCCAATTAAACGCCCAGTCCCATTCACTAGCTCGGTGTGGCTACACATTTACACAACTAAAGGCCTGTCTCATGCCTGGTCTGGTTGCCACGAGTTGAGTATCACTGTCCTACAGGACCCTTCAGTCATGCATCTAAATAAGATCCCTGATTATTTGTTTTTATGGTGTTTCAACACTGAACCAACTAATTTCCCTTCCTCTTGTCCCCTCAGTAAACCAATCAAGCCGACCACCTCATCTACCAAACCGCTCCCTTTCATCAAAGTCATCGAGATCAAGTCATGAAGCGCCCGTGCAGAAGAAAGACGTAGCGATTGTCGAGGAGGGCTCAGCACCACCAAACCTTTTTAACACGGACTGAAACCAAACTGCAGCTCTGCGACCACATCTGATCACACTAACAGTCAGGATGTCGGAGTTCCTGTACTGCAACACTTCCACTACGACCACAAACACTCCTGAAGGACACTGTGCAGTGTTTGGCGGCACGCGTCGGGGCTTGCTGTGCATGTGCATAAATGAACGAGTGTGTATGTCAGCTTTAATGTAGATAAATGAAAGCGTACTGACTTGGCTGACATGCATTTGAAGTTTTACTTGTAATACTGAAAGCGAGTGTTTCTTTGCGCTGCCCTGTTTTGATCACTTTTTTAACCTTTGAGTTTGTGACAGTTTGGCGTTGTATCAAAATAGATACTGTTGGGCAAAGTGCAGGACGGTAGACATTTTGCCAAAGTGACACTATAAAGTCCATATACTGTACGGTGATGTAGCAAACATAGCTAACTAAGCTAAAAGTTTCATGTAGAAGTCAGTAACCAGATGATCTACATCCTGTGTCCCTGTACTCAATAGTCACTAATCCATGACTCCATTCACGCCGCCGAGTGAATGTAAGATGCTTTAAACGTGTAAAAATAACGACTGTAACTTATATGAGGTCAACACCCTGTGATGAAAAGAGCTAAAAGTTTTTAATGAACAATACGGCACTTTATGAAACTGTGAGGAAGCAGAGGACAAAATGGCGTCAGTGTTGAGGACGATATTTGACAACATTCCTGCTTCATAAAAGTGTCATATTTCTACAGATCTCTTGTAAAGCATTTCAGCTCCCCGCCAGTGTGTAAACAGTCACCTTGTCTTGTAAATAATATTGATGAATGTGATTTGATGTTTTAATTTCCATCTAACAACTCCTTTGTATTTATTTATATTAAGTGAAACCTCCAGACAGATTGTGTGTGAGGAGGTTTTTTTATGAAGTACACTCTAATCTATTATCTGTGTTTGTGGTTCTCAGAATAAAGTACTGAAAATAAATATAGTGCTTCCTTTGACTTCCTACTGATATCAAGTGACGCAACCAAGTACATTACTATGTAGAGGGCGCCCTCTGCTGGACATAATACACAACATAAAACATTTCAACCCTATGTCACTGTTTTATTTGGAAGGCAACTTGTACAGTAAGAATCACAGAAAATAAAATTATTCACCTGATGGCAGCCCTGAATAGAAAATTAAACACACAGTTAAGACATCGGGGGGCCAGTCTAGCTTTAACAAAGACAAGAAACTGACTTCCCCCGATGCAACATTCAGAATCTATTAATGCACTGGAATACTGTTAAATTACATTGCACTGAGAAAACTGATTAAAACAAAAGACCACGTGTTCATCAAAAGTTCATTAAAATCAAATATGGCTTCTGTAAAATACATTTAAGGCTAAAAAATAAACTGGCTGTCAAATTCACAGCAGCAAATGAACAGCAGAGACATGTAAACATAAGTGACATAAAACAGTGTGTTTTTAAACTATTAATGGGACAGTTAACCCCAAAATCAATTTTTTCCTCTTATCTATCATGCTATTTATTAATCTAGATTGTTTTGGTGTGAGTTGCCAAGTGTTTAAGATATCAGCCGTAGAGATGTCTGCCTTCTCTCCATTATAATAAAACTCAATGGCACTTGGCTTGTGGTGCTAAAAGCGTCAAAAAATACATTTGAACAACTCAACAGCAATGTCTCTTTCCAGAAATCATGACCCGGTAACTGAAGATGATCTACAGACCTTGTTGTGAGCAGTTTCATGTAGGAACTATTTTCTTTCTATTTGACCTTTCACTAAGCCCCGCCCCTTTGTGGTGGTCTGACAAGCTGACGGAGTAAGCATGGAGCTCACACTGTAACTAACTGCACTCCCTGAGGAAATGTTATAATGTTTTTGGAGAAATGAAACAGTGATTGCAGAGAGAAGCAGACAGAGGGGTCTACAGTCTGTGTTTGAAGGATATATCCAGGATGTCAAACTGACTCAGCAGCAACAACAGGTTAAAAAGACAAAGATAGTTAGAAGCTAAAGCCGAACTATAGGCTACAGATCACAGTGTAATAGTGAACCACCACATCACTGCTGATCGCCACACAAGACAATGAATATAAAGGGAAACTTTGCTGATACTGAACCAGCTGTGTGGCATCACAGTGTGTGCAGATGAACGGTGTTTGGCTTCGCCCCCGTGCTGCTGCCTGCACCCGAACCCTTCACCGCCAAACAACATTCATCTGTGCACAATACAATGACACATAGCTGGTTGAATATCAGCAAAGTTTCCCTGCTTCCCTTCACTGGTTCCTGTACAGCAGGGTCGGTCTTTGTTTCACTGTTATAATCATTAAAAAGCAAAAGCAGCATGTGTATACATTCAGTAGGCTACATCTTCAGTAGCTAGCTAGCTAACCCTACACTTTTCAGGGTTTGGTTTTGGTTTTGGAACAGGGGAGAAACATATATCTTTTTCCAACCTCTCCAGGTAACGAGTGTCATTAATACACGACGTGCCCCAGGCACGACATTTAGCTCCAAATCCACAAAACCAGCCTGAAAATGAAGGAAATCTGAAACGACTGCATTAGAGTCAATGGAGCACAGCTGTGTTGTTGTCGGACCCTGGTCTGAGCCGGCCTGATGCTACGTTATGATTGGCCAGTCTGCGTCCGGCGGCGGGACCTTGTGTCAATTCAGTTAAACTACACCTGCCACCTGTATCAGAGCGCAGAAGGAAACGCGCATCTACTCATGGACAAAAGGCTTGTTGACGTTCTCCACGGCTACAAATGTATTTTTTGACACTTTGAGAACCACAAGCCGAGTGCCATCCAGTTATATATTATATTTGAGAGATGGCAGATATGTCTACAGCCAATCTCCAATGCTCTGCAACTCACACCAAGACAATCTAGATTGATAAATAGCACTACAGGTAACAGATACAGTATGTATTTTTAACGTGGAGTTGAACTGTTCCTTTAGCACTGGTTTTCTCTACTAACATTATTTTATTAGCTTGTTTAAATACAGTTGGTTAATTTTAAGTCTGCATAGGCCTTTACATTGTGCAATAAATACTGATTGTCTTATGCTGTTGCATAGCCTCATAGCTCTGGTTGTGTTTTGGTCAAATCAACCCTACTTACTACAGTCACTCACTGTAGTAAAGCACTTGTACATGCATTAATACTGGACATACGCCAAAGCTACATTTAGATAAAGAGCACTGAGTCTGATATGCATTATACTGTAAACCAGGCAATACATGTTAGTATATGAAGGCAGTGGGTTCATCATTTCACTCTATACTATCTGGCAACAGTGACCCGTCGCCATACATAGGCACTTCTTTCATTGCTGGCAGCTCTGCCTTGTCTTTGACCTTTCCTTTGGACTGGCGTCACAGATTTTCAGAGCGTGCTGTCCAGAGTGTTGTAGTTGTCTTTGAAGTTCTTCAGCTCCAGGAAGTTCCTGGGCCGCTTGCTGCGCTGCTGCATTGAAGATGTGAGGTAGGTGGTTTGGGTGGGGGAGGAGGAAGAGCTAGCAGGCTCTGTGGCGCTGGTCAGGTCTTTGGCTGCGGACTGGTGGTACTGGCTCGTAGTGCTGCTGCTGCTGCTGCTGCTGTTGCTGTGAGACTTGACGCTGAAAGCAGAGAAGGGAGAAACAGGTTGTTCGCAGTGTGTGATTAACATTCCATGGTGGGATTAGCAGAAACGGAAAGCTGTGAGGGAGCGCTGTGAGGAGAGGTTGTGTTTACTCACACAGAAGCCAGTTCAGTCAGAGCTTCCTGGTATTTCAAAAACTCTGCTTCACCAAAAGCCTGCAGACAAAAACAGGACATCGGTGCATTTGTCAGCTCTTCCTGCAATCACGATATACAGCACACACAAAGATAGGCTCTGTGGTAAAAATGGAAATCATGCTAATCATAAGGATACTACATTATCGTAACATATCTACTGTTATAAAACAAATTTGACTTTTCCAGATGTTATTCTTTTAAAATTTAAAGTATATACATGAGTGTATCCGCCTTTTTAGACTAAATTTTCTTATTCATTTATACAAAAGATGAGATGATACATTTCTGATACCCAAACACACACAGAGACACTGACCTCAGCCCCATGGCGTGCTTTGTTGTACCCATCCAGCACTGTGTCGATGAGCGAGCTCAGGCCATCTCGGAACATGCACTCAGAGTTTCGTAGCCGCAGAAGCCACGTCCGAAGTCTTTTACCCGTCACAGCAGCGGACGAGCCACCCAGTTCATGGAAAGGCAGATCTGTTGACAGAACGTACAGGTGGTATTGTAACAGTCTGTGAGTGCAGCAAAACTAAACTGTGACTAAAATGAGTGACAGCAAAGCTAACCTGTGTCTCTGATGGCATCCAGTGCTCTCATCCTGTACAGGTAGTCACCAGAACCTGCAACACACACAGAATCTTCTGTACACTTGTATAAGACGTACTCATGTAGATTGTTTCAGCACTGTATGTGTGTACACATTTGTTTTTTGTGTCTCTCTAACCAGACTGTTCTCTGTGCTTTAGTCGGTCATCGTCTGGGGACAGCAAACGAGGCTCAAAGTGGATTTTCTGAACCTGGCTCAGTTTGGCTTCAATTTCTTGTCTCAGCTCCTACAGGACACACACGAGAGACACCCAGCTATAGTTAATCTGCAGAACACAACACAGCATCACACTTCTGGTTATTATGGTCAGTGTGTGTTACCTTGGGAGCATTGTGGCCAAGAGGAACATGTGGTCCTCTTCGAGACTTCATGGCAAACCGCATAATTTGTCTTTTGACAAAGATGAACAGCAAAACAAAGACCTAGAAAAAGTCTAGATTTCAGTTTAAGGGTTCAATTTTGTTTGATTGTTTGTTTTACTATTATAAGAGTAGTAGACAAAATGCCAGTAATTGACAAGCAGAACAAATAAATAAAACAAAACACACAGTAAATGAGTAAGTATGCAAAGATAATTATCAGGTTACTAACCTAGTAGATCTTAGATTTGTTTGTGTAGATATGAAATCCATGGAGCAATATATTTATTTTTTTGTTTTACCTTTCCCTGTCTTGGGAAGCTAAAAGGTCATGAGAGCAACTCTAAAACAAGTGATTTTGACATTTTCAGTTGTTAACTTTAAGTTCATACAACTGCGCTCAGACAATGGGAGGACAACTAGATTACAGACAGAGGCAACTGTGCAGTGCAGCACAGATCTACTGAGTTTGATAGATCAGTCTTCTCTGTTAGAGCTACAAACTATTGACACCCAGATAAGACAGTGCATAAGCTTTGTTGGTTTAAAATTTAAGATGAAATCATGGCTAAAATCAACCCAATCATGTACCCATCACACATGAACTCAAACACTTGATCTAACATTATGAAATCTTGTTATATCTCAATGTTGTAATTTTATTATTGTTGTAGTGTCTTAGTGTTGTAGTTGTATTGCTGTTGTTGTTGTTATGGTTGCCATTACTTGATGTTGTGTTGTTGTGTTTTTTATAAAATAATGTCATTTAGCAGGAAAATTCTTCTTTGTTTCCTGCCCAAGGACTACAGATGAAAATGAGCTTATAGCTAACTCTGGTACAGCTAAGTAGATGTGCACTGTCCCTGTTCGATAAATAAGATAAACAAATAAAAATAGAGTTAGCACTGTCGCCTAACAGCAAGAGGGTTCCTGATTCCTGGAGCCCTTCTGTGCGGAGTTTGCATGTTCTCCCCGTGTCAGCGTGGGTTGTCTCCAGGTACGCTAAAGCAGTTATAAAATACCACCACTGCATCTTAAACTGGATATAACACAGGTACAAAGTGACAGAGACTCACCAGGCTCCCGTAGGCCATAACGAGCACCACGTTAATGCTCGACAGGAGAGAATCATTCCGCATTTTTCAAACGGTGCGTTTTCACTAAACTAACTAATGTTAACGTTAGCTAAAAAGACCTAAAGTACGTCCGACACGTAACCTCTGAGAGGCGAACGGTTTCATTAAAGTGTTCGGTTTTAAAACGCATGAAGTTAAAACGTAAGACGGAAAACAGGGAAGTACAAAAAGTAAAGTGCTTTATGCTGCAACATCTCTCTCGCTGGCCGGTTTGTTGACTTCCGCGATCGTCACGTGACCGATAGAGGCAGCGTGACGTCAGGTTGTGACGTCTCTCTGGCCTCTTCTGCCACCTGCTGCTGTGAAGAGACTTCACAACGACGCACCCAGCGAAACAAAAAAACAAACAAACAAATCAACAAACAGAAAATAATGTCCAGTCATTTAGACAGCAGCAGCAGGGGCTGTTTTCAGGCAATTGTACTGTTGATTTTAATTCATTTTTATTGTTTATTAGTCTGTTTATTTTGTTTATATCCATTTTTATCATCTTACCCCCTCTTTTTTTACCACTAATGCTTCAGTTGTCTTTTATGTTCAGCATTTTGTGTTGCTTTTTATGCATTAATTGTGCTATATAAATAAAGTTATTGTTGTTATTATTATTATCGCTCCTACACAGGGGCAAACCAGACAGCCTTCATAGTTGTTCAGCCTCTTTTGTGTCACTGTTGTGCGTCTTTTTGTAATCTTAATGTGCTATTGTGTGGTTTTGTGTCTCTTTGCTGTCAATTTGTGTCTCTTTGAGGTCCCGTTTCTTTGAGTATGTGTTTGTACATGGTTTTGCAGCTCCTTTGCATCTCTCTGTGGTCATTTTTAATTTCTTCCTGGTCAGTACAGGTTGATTTGAGTGTCATTTTGCACGTGAGGACCAGAGGGCCCCCCTTACACTTTGGGCTCGGTAGGCCTGTTCAGTAATCCTTCCATTAGCTGCAGACCATTAAATTGCTCAGTTTCTTTTTGTGTCACTTGCAACTGAATTATAAACTATTTATACCCCACAATCTACTGATTAAATACCATAAACTGCCCTCTCTCACATGGTCCATTGAGTCCTACACCCCAGGGATGAAATATGCAGAACCAGTGTGCCTGTGTGAGCAGCACAGTGATTTGCATCCATCCTGCAGAGACACTGAGCGCCATTCTTCTGTCAGGAACAAGGGTGGGTGTCTGTGGAGTCGTGCTGGAGCTATTTACCCTACTCACAGACTTATCTCTGTCCTGAGCATACCATGCGACCTACCACCCCTCTTGTCTGTATGCCTAATCACTGATTGGATCACTGGGTTCCTAAGACTCAGGGTTAGGATCAATGGCTTTGACTCAGTCTGACTTTTGACAGGCACAGAGAGACATTAAGACATCCCTTTTTGGCGCAGTAGCATGCTGAAGTAACCACAGTTTCCTCTGTCTCAACGGAAGACGGTAGCAGGTGCATGTAAAAGAGCAGCTGTAAGAACATGAGCCTCGACATAACAACCCAGACTGTAAGTACTGGTGTGTATTTGACTTTATATATCTATGTCTGTTTGCTGTTTGCACATCTGCAATTCAAAGGCTGTTTGTTCATATTCCCACTCTACAGAATCCTATTTTAGCACAAGAAATACTTTCTTCTTCTTCATCTTCTTCTACTTCCTCTTCTCTGATCTTTTTGTCCTTCAGTTAACATTACAGTCCTGATCTGTAGTGTAGTTTTGTTTTGCTGAACATATGTCATATGAGAAGTGCACTTTTAACAATATTAATCCCTGCTGGTATTTCTGGGTCCACATGAGCGCTTTATGGTCTCTGGTCCTAATTAAAGGTGCTCTGTTATTATGTATTTTGATACCTGCTCAGCCCAGATGATGCCTTGAGGTGGGGTGATATTATAAGCCTGTATTGGGAAATGTCATTCTTGCATTTCACACAATTATCTGAACTGTATCTCCTCTCCCTTGAGCTATGAAATGCTGTTGTGAGAGGGAGTTTGAAGTTTTGAAGTTTTAAGCGTCAGCAGGGCGTGTACGTAAGCATATGTGTGTGTGTGCATGTGTGTATGTGCACTCCCTGTTGAGCCGTTTAGTGGGTGACACATTGAACTGCAGTCAGGAATGCTACCCTGTGAGAAGAGGAAAAGAGGGAGAAAACAACAATAGGAGGGGGAGGAGAGAGAAAGAGAGACAGAGAGAGAGAGAGAGAGAGAGACAGAGAGAGAAAGACAGAGAGGAAGAGAGACAGAGAGAGGACGAGAGGATAAACCAGTGTGGCAGGTTTGCGTCACTGTACACACTCCATCATGCAAAGCTGATGGAAAGACAAGACACAGAGAGAGAGAGGGAGAGAGGAGTTAGGAGCTGATGTCATTACAGAGCGCTGCCTTCATTATGAACACATGACAACACAGTGGTTTAGGACAAGCAAAGAGGTCACTCCTGGAGAAGGTAAGGCACATGTGTGTGAATGTGTCATTAATAAGTTAATTATTGATTATGTGAGGAAGTAAGCGTGTGTATTTCTGTGCCTGTTGCCTGGGTGCATTTGTGTCTTTCTTGCTGTTCAGTTGGCGTTTAAATTAAACCATGCAGTGTTGCCCAGGTTACCCAGATGGGAGGCTTTGTGACCTAGGAGAACAGGTGTTTCTGTAAACCGACACTCAGACTCACCTGCAACAGAAAGCACCTCAGAGGCTGTTGCTCAAAGTTACATGCTGAACCTAAACAGCTTCATGTAATCATGCAGGCAGTGTTTATCAAATGCTGTTGCCCTGTTGGATTTGTACAGTGAATCAACAGCCTATTTGTGTTTGATGTCAATAGAGATGATTAGATACTAATTCTGACCTGATTAAAAATCAAAGGTGTTTCCACTGGCTTACCTACAGTGTCTGTCTTGTACAGCTGTGACCTCGGATATCCCTCATGAGCCATTGTCCATCAGTAACGCTATCTAACTCTGTATGTAAATCAAAGTGACTTTGTTCCCATCTTTGTCCACCTTATCTGATCATTTCCACTGTTACAAGGTTTCAGTTGTGGCTCTGTGAGACCGATACGCGCTGCACAGAGACTAATGTGGCACTTTAATACATTGTTTTTACTGGGTGGATTGCAGTTAGGTGAGTTTTTCCAGTTTTTGGTTCAGGTTTAGCTGACGCTGACAGGTAGTCATGAGTATGTTGCCTGTGTAAACAGCCGTTATGATGTGTGTGTGTGCATTATCTGAGTCCCACTGTCCTGTGAATGGGCTTATTGAGTCAGTATGAAGGGAATGTCAGGAGAGTAGGGACATATTGCAAAATGACATAATTGACACAACTAACTTGTTCCTCTGGCCCTCTATCTTTTATTTTTTCTTCTTATTCCATTCACTGTGCACTTCATGTGTCTCTATAACATGTTGAGTTCACTGTCCTCAACTACTCTGTGATTCTGTTTGACCATTTTGAAGAGCCAGAGTGACCACAATCCACATATCACAACATTCCAGCCCAATCCGTTCTCAGGATGGAAATTTGTACATTTTTATGCTTGGCAGGCTATGGGAGCTGTTCGCTGAAGTCGTGCTGGGGAACTGAAGACTCAGAGGGGCAGAACGGCAAGAGATCAAGAAAAGGAGCCCAGAGGAGTCATCTCTTCTAGGCCGCAAATCAGAGAATCATCAGGAGTACTGCTGAAATATCAAGCTTTTTAATGCACGATTTGTTGCTGTGCAAGAAACTAATGTGAGGGCTGTAATTGTGCTGCCTTTTCACTGCTTTTTCACACACTCACAGCTGCAGCATTTAGACAAACTGCTTCCAGATTGCAGCCCAAAAGACAGTTGCTTGGAATCGCTTAAATATCAAGTTCACTCTCCCGCTCTCTTTTTGGGATTTGGCACTTGACAGCAGGTCATTAACTTTGTTTACTCTCAGACAATGGACTTGTCCATGCTCCCTACTCGAGTGAGTGAGTACAGCGGGCAGAGGACAGAAGCACGCTTCACTGTCCGCTCAGCTAATTCTCCCTCTTACAGTCTCACTCGCAGGCCAGGTGTTAGGAAACCCAGAGGTTTTTTAGGGGAGGAGAAGGAAAGTGCTGAGGAAGCCAGCAAGAGAGAGAGATGCGAGACGCACACTGGCACAAATGGCACAAACAAGGAGGAGGATCCCACAGTCACTGGTTATCAAGCCAGGACTGGGAGTCGCAGTAGTGTCATAGGTCAGTGTGAGGAGGAGGAAATGTCAAGCCATAAAACGTTTACCAAGCTGAACCAGAATGGCGCAGCAGACAAAACTATCACAGAGTTTGGCACTGACAGAAGTGGAAACTTTAAGCCTGCATCTGAAAGCCGGGGCAGGACAGACTGGAGGAGATACAACCTGCCGAGCAGAAGTAAGAGTTTAGATTGGAGATCGGGGGCATCAAGTCCCGATCATGGCAAAAGGGCTGACTATGCATTTTCAACCAAAAGTGGCTTGGATGAAAGAAGGACTGGAATTGAAGGCTTGAGGGGCAGGGTGATGTCTTCAATACAGGCCTATAACTCTGCAGCTACAAGTAATGTTCAAGAGAGGAGCCCAGTGAGTCACGTGAGTCAGACTTTGGACAGGACCAGTTGGGGTAGTTCTCTCCCCATTAGGCTGAGGTCCCTGTCTGGACCTGGCTCTGGTGTCAGAGGGACATCTTTGAGTGGGCCTCAAGGAGGTCAGAGTATAATGGAGCGGATAGAGAAACTCTACGGCTCAGCTGGTTTTGCAAAAACGAAGGATTCCAGCAAAACTAGGGACTCCTCTACCTCTAAATATGAGAGGGCATCAGGGGGAACCTTCCCCAGGCGTTTCTCTTCTGAAGACAAAAGCAGTTTAAGTCCACTGCAAAGCAGGAACTCATTCACCTGGACACAAAAAGACACTTCAGGTTCTGAGACTTCACTTTCTCCGAGGACGAGCAGGACCAGGGAGAGATTGTCAGGGATACAATGGCAAGGACAGGTCCAGGGTAAGTATTCAGAGGAAGGGGGAGTTAACTGGCATAGAGGATTAGAGGAAATGGGCACGAGGTCTCTAGACAGAGCGAGGAGCAGGCACTGTGTAGCAGCTCAGATAAGATCTGCAAGGGCTGCAGCAGGAATTACTCCATCTTTGCAGTCCAACAGTTTCTTAGAAGAAGGGAGATCAGTGTCTTTGAGAGATTCGTCTGGTTGTAGGGAGAGAAGAGCAAGTGGGAGTTG